AAAAAATTATCTATCCAACCTGCCACTTAGTCCCAAACTTCTGACAACGGCCCTGATGTCATAGACGGTCGTTCAGTGCAGGGGCTGATGCCTCTCAGGACGGGCGCATCCAGGATCTTCCTGCGACTCCAGCTCAAAGGATTCTGCAAGTTCTCTACACGTTAAGGAAAATGAAATCTGTTCGGTGGTGACTTTTTCCTGTTGGTTGCAGTCCTGAGTTCTGGTAAAATACAGAATAAGTCTTCTCCCTCTTCAAATATTTGAGGCTGGCTGTCATATCTCCTTTAGAATTTGTCTTGCAGGCTCAAAGTTTCTTTTTTTTTTTTTTTTTTTATCCTCACTCGAGGACATTTTTCGATATTTTGTTCAGATAGAGTGGGAGGGAGAGAGAGAGAGAGAGAGAAACATCGACGTGAAAGCGACACATCGAGTGGTTGCCACCCACACGACCCAACCAGGGCCGGGGACAAACTGCAACCAAGGTATGTGCCCTTAGCGGGAACCGAACCCGGGTCTCTCCGGACCGCAGGCCGACACTCTAACCGCTGAGCCAAACCGGCCAGGGCTCAAAGTTTCTTGTCAGTGGATGCTGCTGAGTCTGTATCTAAGCCTCTTCACCAGGATGCATTTTGTCAGTGTTGCTCTTAAAATGCACTGACCCTGAGAACACAGCGTCCAGCTGTGGCCACTCCAGTGAAGAGTGAGGTGGGCCCACCCTTTTAGCTTGATTTGTTCCTGCCTCTCTTCCAAGTCACCCCACCTCTACAGGGAAATGCCTTTTAACGATATCTACTGATTTTATGATTAAGGCAATGCGGGAGGTTTGGGCGCAGCCCTGATGGGGCTCCGAGGCGCTACCCCACCAGTCGCCTGGTAAAACACGAGGAGACCCTGGAAGGGGCCCGGGGACTGCGGAAATGGAAACTGCGCCCAGCACTCGCCCTCCCAGCAGGCAGAGGCGGGCTGCTAGGCAGTGGGTGACAAGCAGTGCCATCTGGAGAGGTGAACTCTGGTTGGTAAGTTGGCTGCAGGAGCCTCAGAGGCGGGACTACTCCACCCTGCAGTGGGAAGTTTTCCAACCGCTCTGCCTAGCTTCCAAAAAGGGAAGTGAAGGCCCTGGCCAGTTTGGCTCAGCGGTTAGAGCGTCGGCCTGCGGTCCCGAGAGACCCGGGTTCGGTTCCCACTAAGGGCGTGTACCTCGGTTGCAGTTTGTCCCCGGCCCTGGTTGGGTTGTGCGGGTGACAGCCACTCGATGTGTCCCTTTCACTTCGGTGTTTCTCTCTCTCTCTCCCTCCCTCCTACTCTATCTGAACAAAATCAAAAAATGTCCTCGGGTGAGGATAAAAACAAAACAAAACAAAAAACAAAAAGGGCCCTGCGGTTAGAGCGTCGGCCTGCAGTCTGGAGAGACCCAGGTTCGGTTCCTGCTAAGGGCACGTACTTCGGTTGCAGTTTGTCCCCGGCCCTGGTTGGTCGTGCGGGTGGCAGCCACTCGATGTGTCCCTTCACATCGATGTTTCTCTCTCTCTCTCTTCCTCTCGCTCCCTCCCACTCTATCTGTACAACAAATGGAAAAATACCCTCGGGTGAGGATAAAAAAACAAAAAACAAAAAGGGAAGTGAAGATACGTAGGAGACCCACCTTAGGTCAAGCTCATGTCCCATGGCAATAGACAACTCTGGAATTCAGTTTTAGGTTCTAAAATGTTGCTTAGAAATTGGCACAAGGAGCTCGGGAGCAGTCTTCTATGGGGAGTACGGTAATGACTATAGGTTAGGATTCATCAGGGTCACCTTCGTCGCATTCCGAAGGGCATCATGTCTCCAGGTCGTGTGGCATTCACCTCCAGCAGTGATCCAGTGACACAGGGCTGCGGGACCCCACGCCTAGCAGTGCTTCTGCAGACACCGACAGACCAAGCTTTCAGTGGGGACTCTCCAGCCATAAAATACTAGGTCACTGAACAGCTGCTGCATTGCAGGGTCAGATAGCTCACATTCAAAGCAGTAGGAGAGGACTGTTTTTCGCAAAAGTCTTAAGAGAATTCCTAATAATGAAGCCTTTGTGATACTGGAATGAAGCTGGTTTGAGGGAAGATGGGAAGGGAAGGAGGGGGGAGGAGGGACAGGCTCTTCTTGGGAGGTCTCTAATGACAGTAAACTTGCAGAAACTGTTTAAACCCAGTGCTTATAATCTGAACTGCCTGAGCATGGCTAGCTCACTAGTGATCAACCCATCCTTTTTAAAAAAATCCTCACCCAAGGATATTTTTCTATTTATCTTTCAGATAGAGTGGGAGAAAGAGAAATATTGATGTGAGAGAGACACATTGACTGGTTGCTTCGCACAGGACCCGACCAGGGCGGGGGATGAACTGCAACCTAGGTACATGCCCTTGACTGAAACCAAACCCACGACTCATTGGTCCACAGGCCGACGCTCTACCCGCTGAGCCAAACCGACCAGAGCTCAACCCATCCTTTATTCCTGCCCCCCACCCCCTTCCAAAGAAGAGTTAAGGAATGGACAGCAGGTTCCACTGGCCTAAGAGTTAATCAAGAGGTTTTCAAGATGAGGCTGAAGTCTCGAAGCATGGTGGTCTGAGATGGAAGTACAAGGAAGTGTGAGAAGCCACCCTGCTGGACTGTTCTGGAGATGTACCCAGATGTGTATAAACTGGGCAAGTCAAGGGGCACGATAAGCTACCACAGGGAGTTTAGCTGAGGGGGCGGGGCATGTGCAAGGGACTAGGGCAACTTAACCCGACTGGCAGGGAAGTGTCTTGGCCCTGCACACAGGGACTTTTTTTAAAATCCTCACCCGAGGATATTTTTTCATTTATCATCAGAGTGGGAATGAGGGAGAGGGCGAGAGAGAGAAACATCAATGTGAAAGGGACACATCGACTGGTTGCTCCCTGCACAATCTGACCAAGGCCAGGGAGAAACCACAACCAAGGTACATGTCCTTGACCGGAATTGAACCCACAACTCTTTGGTCCACTGGCCGATGCTCTACCTGCTAGCCAAACCGGCCAGGGCGGGACGTATTTTCAGCAGCGGGTAGAGGACCCTCCTTCTCTTCCGTTTATCTGAGTCATTGCTTAGCGTGACATCGCCTCCTCTCTGAGCACCCGTCCCATCCCAGAAGTCAGGTGGCCCTCAAATCTCCTAAGGCATAGGACAGTTTCTCTACACTGGAGGCCGCGGGGGGTGGGGGTGGGGGAGCGAGGCCACTGACGGGAAATGTTCATCATCACATGGGGGGCTGCAGATTCATTTGCCATAGAAATGTGCCCACATGACCATAATGGGTGTAAATGAAACAGGAGATGGTACCAAAGACCAGTATTGAACTGCTTTTTCCTCCTCTCAGTGAGAAACCACAGGCAGAGAAGCCGAGAGAACAAATACTTTATTGGAATGACATGGCAACATTATACTTCAAAACCTCACCCCTGAAAAAGGAAAACATATCAAGGTTTGATAAAAATAAGGATCTTCTTTGTCAAAAACCCCTGGTATGCAGTCCTGTGTTCATGTTGTTTTTGGATACCATGGAAACACAGTTGACTGCAGCAGACAAAAGTGTGTCAGGGAAGAGACCAAAGGTTAGTCCTGATGTTTTCCCCACAAGACCGATGAAAAATAATTCCGATCCGATCGGTCTTTGCTACGGAAAACACAAAAGTCCTTATAAACAAGAAACTCCTTCCGTTAGGGCTCCAAACTTTCTCTAAGATAAAGAATTCACAAATTTTAAGCCATCTCTTAATTGTGAATGACAGGACTTTAGACTTCAGGAGTTCATATTAGTAGGGAAAACAGGAAGAGCCTCAGAGAAAATAGGCACCTACCTCTGCATAGTGATGGTCTATAAATGACCCCAATGCAAGAACCCAGGACTTGACCAGCGGTCTCTGCACCCAGTGTTTGTGGAACTGAATGGTATCAAGTAACTGTTAAACCTTTGGAGTTCCTAATTTAGGTTTTCTACTTGGTAGGAAACAAAATTTCACAAAAACAACTTTTTCAGAACAGTCTTTTGAATAATTGTGTCCAAACTAGTTTAATAAAGATTATCCTTTTGCCTCACATAAACCCATATCTGGTTACAGAAAAGGGGCAAAGTTCTGGAGGGATCAAATAGCTTCACCCCGACAGAAGCACATTTTCCCCAGAGACGATTTGTTGGGGGGGGGGCACCAAAGACATACAAGTGGAGTGATCTGTACGTTTCATGTTTTCCCTTATTTCTATCAACACAGCAAGGGCAACAGAAGGTCTAGGTGGTTCTTCATGCTCAAATGTACAAATAGGCAATGGTAGGCACATTCCATTTGTGGGATGGGATACAAAACGTGTCCAATGGGTAGGAGGGTCTCTTCCATCTGAATGAGAACAAAGTAGCCTTTGGATACTATGCAGTATCCAGCGACTAGATGAAAAACAAGATGGTTAGTAATTATAAGAACATCATAAATCCATCTGAAGATCACAAGTGCCTGGGCCCTCTATCACCCACTGGGACAGTTTGTCTTCAACATGGGCTGAGGAGAGCCAGGCAGCCAGTGATGTGGGGCCAAGAGAAAGCCCACATTTCAAAGGATAAAATACACCTGTATTGTTCTGTACGGGCAACACTTCCCACATTGACCTATACCATAAATTAATTTAAAAAAAAGAAAACTCTTCAAAATAAAATGGGTTTTGATTCTAGAGACTAGAGTCTTTTCAATAGCCGCCTGATCCCACCATGAAACTGCATCACTCATACAGAGTTAGACAAAGAGGTTGTAGAAAGTTAGAGACAGAGGTAGCATATGGTGGACTGTGGACAAACTGAATGCTGCCATAGCAGAAAACTGCACCCTTCTAGGTCTAGTATACACAAGTTAAAGCATATGTATATATTTCTGATTTAGTAAATAACTTGCAATACTTAAATGTAATGGTGGAAAGTACAAAGAAATTTGATAGTGCTGCTTTAATAACTCATAGGAAGCATATACATACACCCAATGAATTCATCTCTTTATTGCATATTGCTATTTAAAAAAATGTACACTCTCATAACACATACAACATTGTTTTCTTGGTACTATAGCAACAGTCCTGCACCTAAAGACTAAGTGTTCCAACTACTAAGCTAATAAGATACAAGACATACAATTAAGTTTACAAATTATAATGCTTTTTCTTTTTGGCATTAATTTAAAAAAAACAACAAACAAAAAAACAACCAAACTTTAAAATACACACCCAAGAGAGAAAAGTGGCTACTTACACCAGCACCAATCTAAAAAAGTAGATTTTTTTTCAACAATGGCACATGAAATTACCTGCACACAGCTTTTTGGGAAAGAAACCAAAAATGGAAATGGCGAAGGAGGCCTACCAGGATGGCCATCTCAAACAAGGATGCTGAGAAAGGGCGAGGGACCTGCTCACGCTTCTCCTTTCGGTGACTCTCCACCCACTTGTCTATTCCTTAAACTGTAAAACAAAGCCATTTTCAACATAGTCCCCAAACTGAGCCAGACCAAATTTCTCCTGCTATAAATAGAAAAGAATATACATAGAGGCACTTTAGTTAAGGAATAGACAAACCCATCGGCACATCCCACTCCTCCTCTCCAAGCCTTTGAGCCGAGTCTCCGTCCGCACCTTGAACAGGCGTATTTGCAGACCACGGTAGTCACGGGTTGGGGGAGCACAACCCTGCTGTGTATTTGAGTTTTATTTGCTCGAGTCATCGACTTCCAGTAATATGCAGAAAGTCGCTAAGTTTGCAATGGGGGGAAAATGTAAAACCACAGCTCTTGACAACTCTTAGAGCACTATTTCACAGCTTTCACACAGCGCAGAGAACTTGCCGTCTGCGCTAAGCATTATAGTTTATACAAATTATCTTTAAATAGCACAATTCCTGTACAGTGCACGCCTTGGTATTCTATTCACCCCTAATATCCCCATTAGAACACGAGCTCCGTGGGGCAGGGGCTCTGTCTTGCTTACCACTGTAGCCGTACTATGCCTGGCACATAGTAGGCATTTAATAAATATTTGTTAATTGACTGAAAAACTCAATTTAGTGAGTAAATAATGTTCTAGTGCAACAGGACAAACTACTCTCTCCACAGGAAACTCAACCACAATAGGATTGATGGAAAGAAAAGAGAGAACCTTAGCCCCCCTCCCCCACTACAAATAAATAAAGCAAAGCCAAAAAAAAAAAAAAAAAAAGTAACAGTCCTCTTTATATATAATTTAAAGATATTAAGAATTGGTAGGTTAATGGTAAGCATCTATATTTTCTTTTCTAATGTTCATTGTTTTTATTCATTTCTCCCTGAGAGCTTTATCTTTTGGACTGAAGTCTTACAGGTAGCTTTACTGACACACAATTTAAAATGACAACATATAACAGGAAACCACTTCAGACGTACTTAGAGATAAATAGATCTTGGCATCTCTGTTGTTGACATTTTGTGCATTTACTAAGCATCCTTTAGTCCAGACCTATATTTACAGAAGATGCAGCTTGTCCTAAGAAACAGAGGATAGATGATACCAAAAGAAAAAAAAGGAAGGCACCCCATAACAATTTTAAAAAATAATTTTTATCCCTTCAGTGAATTCCTCCTTTTAGGTGTTGGGTGGGAAATTATATTTTTAAAGTTGATACTCTATGATGTTAGAACAAACACATTCTGGCAATCTTGTTCTTTAACAAGAGCATAGATTGTATTTAGATAAATAGTGTTCTTTCCAAAAGCAATGTGAAGAAATCATCAAGACGCTTGGCAGAGAGCTTGATGAAATTAAGAAAAAAAATGGATGTCCAAGTTTTAAATATATTAAAAAGTTCTGATTGACCTACATAGTTCAGATTGTGTGCATTCTCCGTGAAGTTACAGATGGCATCCCCCACTGTGTCAGAGTCTGAGCCGGTCCCGTCGGGTACTGACGCACCAGCATCACATGTAACTATCAAACACCATTTTCAATCTATATTTTTCCAACACCAGTTTCACCAATGAAAATAATTTCAAAGTATGCCAAGCCTGGACATCATGAAATACTTTTCAAGCTTTTTTTTCTCTGTACTCTAAGGAATGTCTTTGTCATCTCTTCCAGGAGATGCGCTTGTGCTTCTGAGCAGTCGCGGTGTTCAGGGGAAGGTGAGCCACACTCAGTATGAATGTTCACACAAAGGGTCTCTGAGCACGGATATTAACACAGATTTGTACAAACCATATGGACAGGTCTCCAGACAACACTCAGACTTCTATATACAGTTTTTAATGTACATATACACATACATTTACATACACACATTCACACATTCACTCACGGATGGAAGAAGAAATTGCCACTGTTCGGATTGCAAGGCAGTGTAATGAAAAGTTCTAGTCACTTCAAAGGGCTGCTATTGAGCTTTCTAAAAAAGTATTCAAGGAAAATTAGAAGTTAAGTTTTGTGACTGGTCTCTCTCGGCTGCTGTCCGTCATCTGGTTGGTAATGCGTTTGCGATTCCGTTTCAGTTTGGAAAGGTCTTTGTCAAACACTTCTCCCGAGCGCAAAGCTGAAACCAGGTCATCAAACTCTCCGCCTTCCTCACTGTTCTCTTTAGCTTTCCTCATCTTACGCTCCCTTTCACGCTGTTCTTTGAGCTGCAAACAGAAAGCACCCTCTTAGAAGTGTCCAAGTGTTGAATTTTGTTTTCAGTGGCGATGAATTCTGTGAAATACGGCCATGTCCATCTATAGCTGCTCGCCCCTCCATGTCACGAGAGGGGTGGCAGAAGCAATGGACAACACAGAAAAGTGACTGCTACCTTGTAATTAAACTCTCGCCATCCAGAATCTAAGTAGCCTCTAGCTAGAGAGCAGTGGAAGCAATTTGTATTTCTATAATGGGACGAGAAAGTTTTTCCTATTAAGCAGACCCCAAATATTGGTTTTGTTGATGGCACAGAGAGACCATCAGGCCACTCTCCTTACATCAAAGGCTCAGCCTGTACCTACTGTGAATGCCCAGGACCCGCTATGTAAGAGTTACTATTATTGAAAGCCAAATAACACACATACATTATAGAAAATTTAGATAATTCAGATAAACAAAAAGGGGGGGAAAATCATCCTTAATCATCCTTAATGCTACTATCAAGAGATAAGCACTGCTAACTTTTTGGGAGAATATTGCACCATCATTTTCTATATTTACACTCACTTTACATTAAAAAAAGATTTCACGTAGAAATCATTTTGAAAGCTTTCTTGCATGATTAAATCACCTCTGAAGACATGACTTTCAGGGACTGCACAAACATGCCATTGCGCAGCTCTTGCTCCTTGGGAACTAACGCCTGGTAAACATGGAGACTGTTTCCAGGTCGGGCAATTATAAAGACTGCTGTTCTCGTGCAAATTTATGACTTCCTTCAGAATACTTCTAAGAAATGGAATTCCAGATCAAAGGATAGGGGTATAATTTTTTGGGCTTTGGGCCTAGACCACCACTTGCCCAAGGGACACTGGGTACCAATGTGAACTCCCAGCAGCACGGTGAGCGCTGCTTGAACCCCGGGTTGCAGATCTCGGAGGTGGAATCGGCCATCCGCCCTCTTACCTGAGCTTCCATGCGAGCTCGGCGCTCCTCCTCCTCCTTCTTCTTTCTCATGTTTTCATTCTCTTGTTTGGCTTCTGACACAGCTTGAAGAAACTGATCAAAAATGCCGAAGAACTCATCCGGCTGTATCTTGCCAGCCTCTTCCCCGAAGTGTTTCACTGCTTTCGTGAACTGGAAAGAAGGAGGTTTGGGGAAGTTGGTATCCCGAGAGTTCCACCATCAAACCAAGTCCCTCCAGGACTCGAGCTCAAACTGAGTCCCGTTTGACTTGCTGGACCGTTGTGAGTCTGCCTCTGTCTGTGGCGGCCAGACACGTCTATCCGTCATTTCTAAAGTAAAAACTGAATACTCCTCGACTTTGGAAACCATTTATTCTTGTCTGCCTCATTCCGGCTTAACATCTATGATTACCTCCTACCACTTTTTTATTAACTAAACAGTAGTAAAAACAAGAAAGCAAAATATGGTAGGGCAGAGCACTGAGGACGTAAAACTAACAGCAAGCTCAGCAGGGGCAGGGAAACTCGTACTTTCAACTTTTCTTTGAAGTAGTTTAATATCATTTATTGGTGCCATATGGTTAATATCAATAGCAAATGGGATCCAGTGCTTCTTAGATGTTCTTTCTAATCATAAATAATGCTAGTATTGTGAATTTCCTGGGCCTCAATTAGAAAACAATAACTGATGATTAAGGGAGACTAAAAAAATATTAAAATATATGTATATGGTAAAACAATATTTTCAGTCTTTTTAGTTTTAATTATTTCTAATTTTAGTTCTTCTAGTAGTTATCTTCATAACTTGAGATCACATGCTTTCAGAAGTCTTTGCATTATGATTATCCAAATAATGTCCAATGTTGGTCAAATTGTTGACCATGTTCTTCCTTCTGTGAGGGTCTAAAGCTGTCACTCCTACCAAGAATGCTGTTTCTAGCTTCAAAGCCAAACAAATGCTCATTCCCTGTGCCTAATTAACAACTTAGAATTTTCCAGATCTTGATTTTTTCATGTTTAGACCATAAAGTTGATGCGGTCTAATTGCTTTTGTTTTTCTTGCATTACTTGCCTAGATATTGTTTATCTGCTATTTCAGTGATACTATCGACCTAAAGGAAATGTTTTCAATATTTCGTCTCCTTTTATTTCTTATTCCCCCCTAAGCACAGTATAAGTTTAAGACGGACAGCATGACTTCTTGACATGCATGACTAAAATAAGTTTAGTTAACATCCCTAGTGTTGCAGATACAAGAAAAGGAGAAGTATTGTTTCCCTGCAATGAGAACCCACAGGTTTCCTCTCTTAGCACCTTCCCCACGTAGCACGCGGCGGGGCTAGCTGGTCACGTGTGGCACGTGACATCCCCGCCTTCCCTGTCTCCTGGCAGTGTGTACCTCTGGACGACCCTCCTTCTATTTCCCCTCAACATTTATTCTTAAATAACCAACTTTTGATTATTTGATATGTGCGTATGTCTATATATAGTACTTTATAAATACTATTTCGTATCTTTAAATTTACAATACAATATTACTTTACTACTTTTTCCTTCGCTGAGCAGTTGGTCTCAATGTTTTACTTATTTGGAAATATGCTATTAGAAACCAGAGCTCTTTAGGAAAAAACAGAGCATTCTTCACACGCCACATACAGTGCTCCAGCTTGTTCCATGGTTTTATAAGCGAATTTCTAAAAGTTCTGGTATGAGCAACCCAGCAATAGACAGCCTACAATTGTGTTTCTAAAACAGTCAAGTTCATGCACTTCAAGCCATCCTGAATGATCTTTTTATCTAGGAATTCTAGTGATGATGAAGTCATGTATATTTTCGTCTTAGAAATCTGAAGAAAACTAGTTCCAGACTAAAGTTCCCACGCTAAAATAAAGGGGAAAAAATAGACTTCTGCATGTGTGTGTGTTTAAATCAAATGTTAACTATCCAGTTGATTCTTATAAAAATGTTTGAGCCCTTGGTGAAGTAGGTCTATATTGCCCGGTCTGAGGTGGGGGTGGGGTCCCCTTCCTGCGATGAGTGTGTGAGTGGTGAGGCATCACCAGACGTGGAGGGCCACCCCCCGGAGGCCCTGACACGCTGACCTGCTGCAGTCACGGGGAGTCAGAGGCTGGACCCCTCACAGCAGTCTTCTGAATATACACTGTCTTTCCATTTATTCAGTAATGTTGGAAAGGGGGCTGCATGCTGACTACCTAATGCACCTACTTCTGCATTTTAACCAGTATGTGCGTACACTTACATAAACAAGCACCCAGCTCCACAGCGGAGCACGTCACCACAGAAAAATGACATCCACTACTCAAGTTTCAAAGAAAAGGTTTCCGTTAAAGCAGAATTTGTGGCAACTGAGAGAGAGGCAGTATGGAAGTACTCAACAGGTCAGGGTAGGGGCTTAATATCATTTACAAACAATGAGAAAGGAAATGAGGGAACATATACCTATATATGTATATGAATATGTATATATTTTAGAAGAGGAAAGAGAGGAAGAGAGAGAGAGAGAAGGGGTAGGAGGGTTGAAAGGTCTTGGTAATTTGCTAACAAAAACTTTTTCTTCACAGCAAAACAAAAATTTGAAATAATAAAAATTATAAAAAGAAATGTCTTATTAGGATATATTCCTCTTGCAAGGAGACCAAGGATTAAGAGATATGTCATTTAGCAAGTCCTTTTGCATTCCTTCCGAATGCCTCTGTTATTTGTCATTTGTCGTGGGTCTATCTGCCATCGCACAGCCACCGTGTCTCACAGATCGCCTCTAGAAAAAATAATCAACTCCTGAAAGTAAAAATATACCTTTATGGGCTTTAAGTAGATAATTACTCTAAATTTTCATATGGATATTATGGTGGGCCATCCTCTGCCCTGGGGAACTTTGAATAAGCTCGGCTCGAGATTTCAAAATGGAGGGCCCTGTTCTCCTGAGCATCTCAGGGGAACATATTATTTCCAGGTACTGAGGCACATGGCCTTGGTCACACCCCATCTCATTCCCCATCCTGACTTTGGTTTTCATAATCTCTTTTCTGGCTTCCACAGATAAGTACTTTGATCCATTATTAACCAAGAGAAAACTGTCTTAGTTTATTTACTAGTTTTACACCACTCAGATACTTCATGGTCTTGCGAACCTAAAGGCAACATAGGTAAGTCAGACAAAAAGGGTGTGTTTCAATTGAGCACAACCTAAAAAAAATAAAATAAAATAAAATTATAGCATAATATCTGGAAGTACCAGCCCTGTCAAACAACACTCGGTGTGCAAGGAGAAATTTACCAGGTCTTTAGCTTCTGCTAGAAGATCTTCAACATCCGAGAAGCTGAAACTGGCTACTGTGATGAACTGGCTGACAACAGACACAAACTTATCTCCAGGCTGCGGGGGCTGAGACTTCTGATATTCCAGCTCCTTAAACAGAGGAAATGGATAACGTCAATGCAGGCTTTGAATGCAGACACACCTTGTCTCATTTTCCATATGCCTCAAAGTTAATCAGTCTGAAACATTTTGGGATGTCCTAGCTCCCCTTGCCCTTCTGCCCACCGTGCCCCTGTGCACCCACAAATTTGCAAACAGCAATTTATCCAATTGTGTGAGTACTTATCAGTGTGACTTCTTATACCGGCTTAAATGTAAACAGATTAGGATCTGATAAAATTAGTAGAAGTTAAAAAGTAATTCTGGTTCCTTGATTTTTTTCTTCTTTCCCGCTCTGCCAAGCCTACTTCCTAAGCCATGTATCTGGGTCAGGAGGCTTTTAACTGCAAAGCTTGGCACCACAATCAGCGACCATTTTTCTCCTTATCCACACCAGTAACTCAGTTTTGGGGAACAGGCAGGCAAAGAGTGTCAGTGCCTTGTTAATACCAATACTCTCCATCACCATGGTGATAAACACACAGATTATCCAAATTTAATTTTGATAATAAATTTCAACCATCGTCAGATGCACTTTCTTCTTTACTCCCCCAGCGCCTGTGAGTGCGGCGTTATCATCTCCACTTGGAAGTTCAGAGGGTTTAAAATCCTAGAGCAAAGTCAACTGATATATGATAGGGTCAGAATTTGAACTCAGGCCTGCCTGACTCCAGAGTGTCAGTAACGATGATGCTGTGTACCAACTGACTGAATCTGGGTCTATTTTCTTCTCCACCTGCTTTGGCAGAGGTGGCCACAAGCAGAAGTGTGGAGATCACGGGCTCTGGATTCTGACTCAGCTCCACCACTGGGCCTCGGTCTCTTTGCTTGTAAAAGGAGGGCAGTATCTACATCACCATGGGAATCACATGAAATAACAGAAGTGGAAACTCATCAATTATGGAGCTTGCTCTGATGGAAACACTGCCACCATCCTGGAACTCTGGCCTGGAAATGAGCTGTGTGTGTGTGTGTGTGTGTGTGTGTGCGCGCGCGTGCGCGCGCATGCAGATGTGAAAGCAATTTTAAAGTGTTTCATTAGCCCTGGCCGGTTTGGCTCAGAGGTTAGAGCATCAGCCTGCGGTCCGGAGAGACCCGGGTTCGGTTCCCGCTAAGGGCACGTACCTCGGTTGCAGTTTGTCCCCGGCCCTGGTTGGTCGTGCGGGTGGCAGCCACTCGATGTGTCCCTTTCACGCCGATGTTTCTCTCTCTCTCTCCCTCCCACTCTATCTGTGCAAAAAATGGAAAAATGTCCTCGGGTGAGGATAAAAAAAATAAAAAAATAAAGTGTTTCATTAATGTATAATTTCTAAAGAATTCCATCTGTGATATCTTCAAATGATACAATCAATTTGTGCAAATCACAATTAGTACACACGAATATGCAGACAGGCCAAGGCCCGCCTCCCGATGCTCCCTTCCCATGCCACATCTTGACCCCTAAGCTGGTCAGACACCCCCATCAGGCTTCAGAAAGGCGGTCACAGCTGCCATGTAGCCTCAAGAAGCCCTCTGCAGGAGCAAATAAGACAGGCCTCGCCCTGCTTGGTTTGGCTCAGCGGTTAGAGCGTCAGCCCTTGGACGGAAAGGTTGAGGGTTTGATTCCCAATCAAGGGCACATACCTGGGTTGCAGGTTCAATCCCTGGCCATGGTTGGGGTCGTTCAGGAGGCAACCAATCTATGTATCTCTCTCACATCGATGTGTCCCTCCTTCCTTCCCTCCCTCCTTCCCTCCCTCCCTCCTCCCTCCCTCCCTCCCTCCCTCCCTCCCTCCCTCCCTCCCTCTCTATCTAAAAAATCAATGGAAAAATATCCTTGGGTGAGGATTAACAACAACAGTACCAACAAAACCAGCAAGCCCTTTCCCAAACTGCCCTTATCCGGTTTGGCCTCAGAAAGCTGAGGACGTGAGGATGTCCCACAAACTCACTCAGTCTCTCCACCCTCTGGGGCTGGAAAGAGTTCACTCAATTAGTTCATCTGCTTTTCTTTGTAAACAGTCCTCCCCCCCCCCAGGGAAAAAAGAAAACCTCATATGCTCCTTAGTTTATTCAAAACAAACAGAAAAGATTAGACACTATAACTTCAATTTTTATTAGAGGTATGTCTTTAATGAAGTCAACTACTTTCTATGGCATAATTTTAAAAAATATTTATGAGGGGCACCTTTCCAAGCTGCGTGTGAATCAGTCCCCTGCACCAAGTGCCCGACCGGAGCTATGCCCACTCTCCTGAGCCAGGCTTCTCCTCCCGACCTGCCCCTCCCTGACGACCGCAGTGCCCGGGTGGCACTGTGCCACCACAGCCATGGCCCGTTCCTCCGCCTCCAGCAGTGTGACCTGCTTTCCTCCCGCTGAGGCCTGGGCCAGGCGTCTGTACACCTGGGACGTCCTCCCTCCTATGTGGCTACGTTTACACCCGCATCAGCTCAAAGCTCCTCTCCTCCAGAGGAGAAGCTCCCTGCGCCACGTGCCAGCCACTCCACAAGGCTGACTAACCTAGACCCTCCCTTCTCCCCGCAGGCGCCTCTGTGGTCACCGTGCTTATCTGGATGTGGCCGACTTGAGCAAACGTGAACGTTCTCTGGACTGACTGTCTTGGCCGCTGCCACACCTGGACGGCAAGGATTCTGAACCAACACGACCCCTTGTCTTGAAATGGACCGTACACCCAAGTGTCTGTTCGAAAAGTACTCCCCAAAGGACCGCCTCAAAGACAACAGAGACGTTCCGTTCCTCTACGGAGACAGCAAACATCATTTATCACTAGAACGTGAACACTGAGGATGCTGGAAGAGATCTTGTCCAGCCCACGTTCCTGGGCCCTCTCCCAGGCGGAAGCTGGTGCGGCTCTAGGTCCAGTTTCCCAGCTCCTGCTCCAGTGACACCCCCAGGAACCCTGCTGCCTACAACTGAGTTGCCTGGCTGAACACAACCTGCCTCTGCTTCTTCAGTGTTGCTGTTTTTTTTTTTTTTTTTAAATCAATACATGTCTATCTGGGCCTACCCCATGCCAAGGCAAACGCCCTCACCGCTGGGCATCAGCAGCACTAGGCGCAGTGACGGGACGGAGTCAGAACAGGAAACACTCACCGTCTCCACGGCTTTCAGGCCACTTCTCAAGGTGCTGACTTCTTTGTCCAGCTCCGTCATGCTATTGCAAACAGCAAGGTTTCAGTGACCAGCATGGGACTTACATGTGTTAAACATAAGAGGGGTTTAACATGTCATGCTTGGAAGTCCTTACCAGTTGATTTTAAATGTTTAAAATTCCCTTCCATGTTCAGCTCTCACAGAAAGACAATACTATTTTAAACTTGTGGAATTATGTTTCTTATTTTCCACAGCCAGCAGGTCTATTTTATAAGTTAAAAATGGCAGAATTAAAACATCTGTCCATCCGTACAAAACTATTCCCCGCTGCACTGTCAGAGAGCTCATGTAAGCCAATCACTCTGCGCGGAAATGCGCTTCTCGCGCGTGTGGCTCCCTTTGACCAGCACGAGACGCCAGCTCAGCGCAGCCGCGGTCACGCGCCTCCTGCCCATGACTGCACTGCCCTTCGCTAGAGCTCTGCGGTGTGAACATTACAAGGTGGTGGCTTGAATTTCAATCAACAATGATTTTTCTTAAGGTTGCACTAACTAGGTTTTATTGTTTTTGCCTTTTTTTGAACAGAGAAGGCTTCCTGGACTTCTTCCATAACGCTTTCTACTTGACGACTTGTATGTTAGCACATGCAGCCTCATTCTCACAGACGAGCCGCACGTGAACACGTTCACCAACACTTCCTCTTAACTCCGTCTCACATGGCACTGTTCTACCGAACTCTACAAACAGGCTTTCCAATTCACGGCAAAAAGATGCAGTTAAAATGTTTTTGTTTGTTTAAAAAAAAAACCAAAAAACGCCAACAGGAGGAACAGCAAGGGAAATCGCCTGCTCCTCGGTCTCTGAAAAGTGGTGTGAAGTTTGTGGTCAAAGTTTGGCAAATTTCCATTTTTATTTTTAGTGTCTTCATTTGCATAAAGACTGTTTTCCGTGAAAAGGTTGCCTTGGTTTCTGGGAGTGTGTGTAACTACTAGCTACGCCCTGACATTTAGGTCGCCTATTTGCTTCCCCATCTATCCTCATTTAACTACCTATATTTTAATAGAACTACCTTTGAAAAATACTAGTGAGACCATTCCTTAATTCATAATACACACTCCGAACACACACAGTAAGGCCCTGTGGGACTAAACACTGCATGCTGGAGTCTTCCAAAGGAGCTAGAACACATATTAGAAACCATGTAACACGTTTGTGTGTTTGGATAAGATTCCAACTTTATTTCATGTAGTAGTATTCAGGGGAAAGCAAACAGAAGGACCCTTTTCAGACAAAGCTAACTAACTCTCTCAATGGCCAGAGCACAGTCCACTGTATGTACTTACTTTACTTTTGCTGCTTGAGGAATGTCCCGAAGTTCTTCATTGAGGCTGAGAACCTTGGGGTATTTATTTTCCACAATAGTTATGAGATAGTGCAAAAGTGTAATGTTCCTAGATTAAAGGAAAGAGTATTTATTAACTATGGTTAATATCTGTATATGATTTGAATATTCAAGTGATTGAACCCACAAGAATGCTATATTCCTGCATTAATTTCAAACTCTGGAGGTTCCTATAAGGCAAAGATCCTTGAAAGAAGGGGACATAGGGAGAGTCTACATGAAATTTACATAAATATATGTCACAGGAAGCATACACCTTCTACAGGGGAAGGGCAGAGGATAAGAATTACTTCTTTGGCCCATAATGAACAGCCTTCAAAATCTGGGTAACGCCATGGGTGATGGAAATGAACCTGAACCGTGACCAAAGAGGACATTCCTTCACAGTGTGTCCACCCAAAGTAGGGGTGTGCCCGGGCAGTGCATAGCAAGCAGGGCGGGTGGGGACTGAGGGATGTTGAATTCATTAACGAGGACAGCTATCTTCAAGTCTAAAAGTACAGGGCAGCAGCCCACTGACAACAATTATTGATAATTTTCATTTAAGGTTTCTTGCAACTCTGACAACATTCCCTCTGACTCATTTGTTTTGCTGTTGCAGCGAAGCGTGGTCACAGAGGTAGAAAGCTCCCTATTTCAGGGCTGGGCCTGGAAGCGGGCCAGGATTACGCCATCATGGATATGATATCCCTGTGGCCAAGAATCCATTTCCTAATTTTAGCAACACTTCGGCTCCTACCTGCATCACCCACCTCCCTCCTCAGTGGTGACAGGCCTGAACCCTGCCTGACCTGGGCTGCAAAGGCAGGCATCTCATAACACTATCCATTAGGCAAAGCGGTGGTTGTCTGGTCCTGCTGTCCCTGACTCCAATGCATGTTACAAGCATTTAATTGGAATGAGGTGGGACCAGGCGTGGGTATTTTTAAAACCTCTCCAGTGATTCTAACAGCCAGGATCAAGAACTATCCGTCTGTTGAAAGTTATCCTAACCAGGAGGACACAATGCATTTCTTTGACAACATTCCCATACTTCAGGTAGTTTGCTAATTCCCAGTGCTGTCACAACGGCCCCCCCACCTCCACTCCAGCAGCAGAGCTGCCACAGTTTCCTTGTCCATGACGATGAAACCCCCTCTGGTCACCCCTGCAGCTTCAGAGAGCCAGTGTCACCCTACTCCTCTGCTCAGCTGGCTCACATGTAAAAAAAAACTCCCCCAATTTTTCTTGCTCCCAATAATTAGAGACCAATTGTCCAGCAAAGTAAAACAGTGGCTGCAAAATCCCTTTGCAGACGTCGGTGCATGTCACTTATGCAGTTTGCAATCGACGTGTCTGCCGTGTGTCTGTAGGGAGCAGAATCCCAACCACGAGAAAGAGAATGCCATTTTCTTCGTTATCTGAGAAACGCTCTGATATTTAGAGACATTAAATGTAATTGACCACTTGCACCTTTCTAGTGTAGAAAGACTTAAAACCAGATCTGAGCTTTCCCGTACGTCTGCTATCCAAATAACACCTCATTTGACTGAACGTAAATTCTTGAGGAGTAAACAATCCAGCGCACATTCGATCCTCCTCTTGTCGTCACCAGAAACAAGCCTTTAGCGCAGTGAAGGCACCTTCAGGCTGACTGCCCACCTGCAGTCTGATCGGATTCGCCTGAACAGTTCGTGGTGCCTTAGGCAAGGCACTCAGCCGGGCACTACAGGCTTATAAGACACTGGGGCTACTTTGGGGGCAAATGTTCACAGGCAGAAAGAAAAAAAGGAAGAGATGGGAACTGTTTTTAATTTATTTGTTTTGAAAAGGCTTGCGAATTAAATTCTGTAGTAACTTCAATAAGCAGGTCATCGCAGTGGGTGCGGGGTTATCAGTACTACGCTGGGGAGGGCAAAGGGTATCAAAGGTGTGTGTATGTTTGTGGAAGGCAGAGGGGCTGGGAGAACAGGACTGACTGGCAGTGAGGGTTCCCTCCTCCAACCTGCAAGCCCAGCTGAAGAGAACATCCTTCCTTAAAGAGGTGGCTGCTCTTGAGACGCAAGGAAGATGCTGTAGTTATTTACGACAGCCTCCAAGTAAGATCGATTTTTTTGTAGAGTAGCACTGGGGACAGAGCAATAACAGGTGTCAAATACTTGCAAGGCCAGATACCCTGCTGGTGGTGACCTTGGGCAAACTAATGAGTCTGCCTCAGTTTCCTTATCTGACAACAGGTGATACAGCACTTGGCCTGTGACCTTCCCAGGCTGCTGTGACAATCAAATGTGAAAGTGCCCTGGAAAGGACCAGAGTTGACATTAAAAATAAGGTGGCCGTGACAAAACATAACAGCTGCCCTTCGTCATCTGTCTCTACACAATGCAAAGTAAGGCTTAGCCCCGTAATTTAACACGTTCTTTCTTATGGGAGAGTTCAGGGTGGCCACAATGCTATATACCTCAGTAACCCCACAGAATATACAGAGTAAAAAGCCTCACTCCTTAGGAATATTAGGGTGAAGAGCCTACATTCTTTTCTTTCTTTATTAATTTTAGAGAGACTGGAAGGGAGAGGGAAAGAGAGATAGAAACACTGATGAGAGAGAACATCAACCAGCTGCCTCCTGCATGCCCCCCACTGGAGATTGGGCCCACAACCTGGGTATATGTCCTGAGTGGAAAATGATCTGGTGACCTCCTGGTGCATGGGTCGATGCTCAACCACTGAGCCACACTGGCTGGGCCAGCCCATGTTCTTAATAGAAGAATGCAGGTACAGAGAAATTTATCTTAGAAACAACTGTGCCCGTTGCTTTGAAGTCAGGGAGAACCTCGGGAGACTGGGCCCTCTGCTGAATGACCTACCACTAGTGACACCAGCGCATCTCCACATCACGGTGTCTCTAACGAGAATCTGTCCACCAAAAACGCACTTTCTCAGAAGCATTTTAACGAGTCTTGGGATGAGTAGCTCAGTACCAACAGCCAGGAGACATTTACACATCCTAATTTTTTCACATAGCTGCGACCTCCAATGTGTAAAACCCCACAGGCTTCAGATTCTACCATCAGCTGTCAGGTTCTGTTCCTCTTGCCTGCAACACGGTCTCGATGGAGGGCAGTGGCGGGAGGTCATGAGCCCACCACGGGAGCACTGGTCAAGTTTTATTTCTGGATCTGGGCACTAGTTACACAGAGGTGTTCAATTTGTAAAAATTCATCAAGATGTACATTTATAATTAGTGAGTTTGTCTTAGTGTATCATAATAAAATACAAAGTTTATCTAAGGAAACCCCCAAAAAAACAAAGAACCTGGACTAGATGATACCCCTGTGGACTGAAATGGCTGACAGCTGGCCCAGCAGGAACGTGGGGACACCCTGGGTTATGCGAGAGGAGAGGGACCAGTGCAAACTGTGGAGGCGCGGGGCCAGGGGACGCAATAAGCCCTGACCTAAGCGCCTGCGTCCCCCAAGTGTGGACGAGCCATACTCACTTGTCAATACTGGACTTCGTGTCGGCAATCTTGTTCAGGCTAGATATCTTGAATCCATACGCATTGCCTCTTTGGCCTTTGTTCATGTAATTTCCAAAGGCCAAAACCACCTCCAGCAACTGCTTCAGGGCACCGCTCCTGAACACCTCTTCTGAGCCAGAACGGATTGCTTCAAAACAAAACATACCACAGCACGACTGTCACGACCGAGACTTTTCAGAGATATCCATCCTAACTCCACACACCTGATAGCATGTACTGAAGGTGCAAGATCGGGTCGTTAGATAACCGGGAGCACTTTTGAAACACCTGAACGAGACGCAGGCAGCAAGGGGACAAGGACGCCGGCTGACGTTGTCCAAGAGACTCCCAGACAGTTGCACAATCCCATCCCTCCAGTCCTTTACTTGGCTGTCTTATCAACCAGAAGCAGTCAGAAATACAGAACAGAAAGTGCACTTCCCACATTCCTTTGTGAACACTTGCTTGCCCGGTATGAGTCGGATCAACAGGGGGTTACTGATCAATTTCATTGATAGAAAAGCTGGCCCAATGTGCTACATGTTATAGCTTGCAGGTATCATCAGGGATCAGGGCTCAAGTAGGGTCCCGAATCCAGCCTGCCTTCTGGGGCTGTGCTCTTCAGCTGCCTGGACCACATTTTAACCATTTACAAATTTAATAGCCTCAAAATCAACCCATATTTATATCTCAAATCTTCCCTTAGAAAAGCTAATGAAAGGTTTAATGCTAGTAGCAGTAAAATTTACTCCTCACCAACACCCATGTGGTCAAAAGCCCAGTCTGCAGAGGGCCAGGGGTGTGCTGTGCGCTCTAGAACGCAGGCCCGGCCGTGAGCGAGCGATGACCTTAAGTGATTATCCATCAGAATTACAAAAGATTTCGAGCAAAGAAACCACCAAAGGAATCTTGTTTACTATATCCACTTGGGTTGCACTTGTATATAAGCACTTAAGACAAACATCATGTTCAGTCTGAGTGGCTTGACTCTGACTTTACCTTCCACTTTTGGTTTAACTTCGGCCACGCGCTCTGCAAACTTCTTTTTGAAGTACAGCGACTGTAATCTTTGCTGATAGTGATTAATTCTGTAAGAGCAAACACAGACTAATGAACGTTCACTTACTACATATAGCACGTCACTCAGTGGACATGAAGGTGGAAGTACCTCAGAGCGCTCTCAACCCGACACACACACACACACACACAGTCTCTCCCTCCCTCCTCCTCCTTTTTCTGGACAGGAGCACAGGGCCTGAGACGACTTTGCCTGGAGGGCCCACTTTCCTCTGCTCTGCAGTGGGGATTTGGGGATGGCACCAGGGTCCTCATCTCCAATCAGACTAGGCGATGGCTGGCTGTCCCCTTCCCTTCCTCAAAGTCTCAGCAGCTCTTATGAACAGAGAAGGGATAGAAACATGTAAATGAAAAGATTCCCCATTCTGCTGCAAATAAAGGGCTGTTTCCTACACTTCTCTCTGGGCGTTTTAACTTTCCAAAGTTTTCCTGTAAGGAACATGCCTCCAGCATTCTCGCCTCGTACCACCCTCTCCTCACTCACATCCCCTACCTTCCTCTTTCTCCCAGCTAGCTGCCTGTCTGCTCCCTCAGGGCTGGCAAGCTCTGCCTTCCACGACAGCAACTAGTTACTTGACATAAGGATAGAACTGGCCTCTGGTCACCATGAAGGTCAGCAGCCCTATGCTGCTGAGGGGTGAGGGTGGGATTTAGCCCAGACCTTCTGGAATCACTGCCTAGCCTGCTCTCTGGGAAATTTCAGTCCTGTAGGACCAGGGATCAGCCCCTTCTCCAAAACTATACTATACAATCAGAGAGACCTGGTTTTGCAGCCCAGGTTCTCCTTCTATTAGGTGACCTTGAACGGGAACTCCTCCGAGAAATGGAGGAGAACAGCTCTGGCCCACACCCTCCTGGCAGGGCCAGCAGGAGATTACGTGAGATGGTCAGCAAAGGTCTGCACAGTTACTAAGCAGCAGCTACTGCAGGTGGCCATCCTGTTTGTCTACATATAGGTTGCTGGGCACACCTGTCAAAATTTCAAAACCATCCTTTGCCCTCCTGCAGTGGGCGAGTAGTGACAGAAAAACAACAAAAATAAGTCTGGATAGGGCAGGAGTGTATAGTGAGGGGCACATCCACCTTGGTCACATTTGTTGGCCTTTGGCACTCGGGAAGGGCTCTGCCCTGGGACTGACAGAGTTTCAGGACCACTGGTCCTTCTCTAGAGCAGAACCCATTTGCCAGGCCTGGGATGGCACATGCACTCAACTCACACGCCAGACTCAATTAAGAAGCAGTGGCTGGCCCTGGCTGGTTTGGCTCAGCGGTTAGAGCGTCGGCCTGCGGTCCTGAGAGATCCGGGTTCGGTTCCCGCTAGGGGCGCGTGCCTCGGTTGCAGTTTGTCCCCGGCCCTGGTCGGTTGTGCGGGAGGCAGCCACTCGATGTGTCCCTTCACGTCGATGTTTCTCTCTCTCTCTCTGTTCCTCTCTCTCCCTCCCACTCTACCTGAACAAAAAAATGGAAAAATGTCCTCGGGTGAGGATAAAAAAAAAAAAAAAAAAGAAGCAGTGGCTGCCTCGGGGACTCCTGGAGAGGGGCTGAGAAAACTTGCCAGGGCTCTGTGGGAAGAACGCCACCATCGATTAGTGATGTCTGCACGTGTCATGATTTGACATCCAGACCCCGGCCGCTCAGCTCTGTGAGCTCCGGGCTGACATCATAGAGTCTGTCTGTCATTTTCTGTTTTATAACAACCTTGAGATGTGGAGGTAGTATAGGGAGTGAGAAACAATTCCCCAAAATCAAGAGGTGAGGAGAATGACACTGAATGGAACCAGAATAAGTTATGACTTAACGAGGTTGGAGCTCATGAGTCAAAAAGGCCCAGAAATAGAGATAATGGTGAAGAAACTCTGACCCTGTCTAACCCATGGACCAGGACTCAATTAAGCAAAACAAATTCCATACAATTCCAACTTGAAAAGATTCTGCAATTCAAAAAGGCTTCAAGTTAAACCAAATAATTCCACACGAATCAAAAGTTTAACTTTCTTAGAGAGGTAAAGGGCATTTTTAAACTCACCGGCTCATCTCAAAAAGGAATCGATCAGCCTTAGCCATCCGATCCAGCTCATGTTTATGTTCCTCCAGAAGGTCAATGTCACCTTTTTCAGGAACAAATTTCAAGAGCTGAAAAGTACGCACAAATATTAAAAGTGAGGTTTGTCATTTAAATTTCTTCAGTAACTTCTCCCAAGATGAAATTTTAACTTTTGTTTAATTTGTAAGCTCTGCTCATTAAAGATACATTAGAAATGACTAAAATTTCCATTTTACTTGGAAGGAGTTAAATCGGTGGAAGAGTCAGTCCTGGCATCTTTCTGTTCTCTACTGTCTCTCAAATCAGCATGTGGCAGCTCTTTACCAGACCTCACTCTACACAGCCCATCGGAGGGACCCGGGGGACTCAACCCTCGCATCAGAAGATGATACAAAGGAGGCCCAGAGAGATTAGAAAACCCACCCAGGATTACCAGGCAAGTGTGTGTCACCATCAGAAATAGAAGCTAAGTCTGGACTCCCAGCTCTGTGCTTTTTTCTATTACATCATGCTGGAATGAGTTAGTCTCTGTGCATTTTCCATTCAGTTTGCTTATCTGGCTTATCTAATTCCACCTCTCTTTTTTTGCTCCATGTAGAGTTGGAAGAGAGGAACTCAGTGGGATTTGAAGTTTTTAATTCCATATTTTATCTTGGAGGAAGACATGAGCATGGAATGTGGAAGAAATAGCAACAACATTTAGAGTGGAAAAAGTACTTGTTTGTGTGTCTGATTTGCTTTAAAGGAACGAACACCTAGGTGTGTGTGCGCACAGACGTGTGTGCAATTCTCTAGATCAAATGCCCATGGACATTAAAAAATTACACTGCCTCTGTGGACCCAAGATCCTTCCCAGAACTTGATGCTGACATTGGGTGCTCCGGTCAGCAGGTTTCACATGTGGGACTTGACGAAGGCACCTCAGAAAAGGCAGTCAGTATGGGTGCGACAGCAGAGAGAACCCAACTACCGGAAGGAGGCGGGTAGTGTGAGAGGGAAATGCATCCCGGGCAGAGCGCCTGCGTGGGCCCTGCGTGGGCCCTACGTAGGCCGGGTGGGCAGAGCGCCTGCGTGGGCCCCGAGGGGGCGGGCAGCGCAGCACGTGCAGGTATAAAGCAGCTATAATGTCGCGGGGAGGGCAGCAGGGGTCCAGGTCGGAGAAGAGCAAAGGCCTCATCAGTTTTGCCCTGGTGGGTTTGGCTCAGTAGTTAGAGCATGGGCCAGAGGACCAAAGGGTCTCAGGTTCAATTACTGGTCAAGGACACATGCCTCTGTTGTGCTTTGATCCCTGGCTCTGGTCAGGGTCATGTAGGAGGCAACCAATTGATGTTTCTCTCTCTCCTTCTCTTCCACTTTCTTTTCTTTTTTTTTATCCTCACTCGAGGACATTTTTATTTTTTATTTTTTGTTCAGATAAGAGTGGGAGGGAGAGAGAGGAAGAGAGAGAGGAAGAGAGAGGAAGAGAGAGAGAGAGAGAGAGAGAGAGAGAGAGAGAGGAACATCCACGTGAAAGGAACACATCGAGTGGCTGCCTACCGCATGACCCAACCAGGGCCGGGGACAAACTGCAACCAAGGTACATGCCCTTAGCAGGAACCGAACCCCAGTCTCTCTGGACCACATACTGACACTCTAACCTCTGAGCCAAACCAGCCAGGGCTTTTCCACTCTGTCTTTCAATGAAAATATTCTTGGGTAAGGATTAAAAAAAATCAGTCTTTATCTTGAGGGTAGTGGGATAGACTTGAAATCTTAAGTAGAGAAATGAGTTTGCATTTTAAAAAGGTTCTGTGCCTGAAGATGGGAGAAGGAATTGGAGGGACGGAAAGCACCAGGGCTATGACCAGACGGCTGATGCAGCGATCAAGGCGAGACGACGGTGGTCTGGGTTGGGTAGAGGAGAGAGTCTAGGGCTACTTAGGAGGTTTGAATTAAACTGGCCTGACTTGTTGATGGGTGGATAATGGTAGAGAAGAGTCAAAAGGATGAGGTCCAGGCTTCTGGCGTAGGCAACAATGTACACAGAGTGTAACAAGGAACCCAAGAAGAAAAGGGTTGATGAAGGTGGGTGGGGAGAAGGTGAGTTTGGTGTTTGAAATACTGGCAAGAGAACCAAGTAGTGATTTTTAGTAGGCAGGTGGACAGATGGGTCTGGAACCCTATCTGTTTGGAAGACAAAGCATTGGCATTGGTTGTAACATGCTTGGAAGTGAGTGAGGCAACCTGGCCAGCCTTTAGAGGGAAAACAGGGCTCCAGAGAAGCCAGCATTTCAGGGATGAGGACACGAAGAGAAACCTTCAAAGGAGGCAATGGAGGGACGTATATGGAGTCACAGGACCAAAGGAAGTGGTGTTTCATCAGGGAGCAAGTGGCCATCATGTCACACACCAAGGAGTCAAGGAAGATAAGGACTGCAACGTGTCCCTGGCCCCGGCAACAGGCAGTCTGTGTGTCCTCAGTGAGAACAGCGTTAGGGAGGCGAGGCAGACGGAGCTGAGGAAGAGGGAGCAGGAGGTGAGTGGGGACAGGCTTTCAAGAACTTGGGCTGTGTCAACAGCTAGACGGAGATGTGGGGTCTCGAGAGGGGTGTGTGTTTGAGAAGCTGACACTCAAACAGGTCATGTGTCGAGACGGAGAGGTGAGAGATCTGGGAGGGGGCAGTCTCCACTCCAGCTGGGTCCCTGAGCAGAAGGAAGGGACGGCCAGGGACACCCCTCTTCCCTAATGGAGTGGAAGGGGAGATAAAGTGGATGCTGGGAGTTCACAGGTCTGGTGGCCTGAGAGCTTCTGGTCATTTATGTTCTGCTGTTCAAATAGTGACAGTGGACAGGACAAGAATATTCTTGTTCTTCCTCAGTGTAAGGAGGGAGGTGGTCAGCAAGGGCAATGGAGAAGAAGACAGAAAAGGGCTGATTTTTCCGTAGTGTGGAATTTTACCTACCAGACAAGGACATTCAGTTCTAGTCCCAGTATTGCCCCCACTCATTATACTGAGCCCTGTGCATAATGAAGAGGTACCAAGCTCTCTTCATGCTGAAGGTGAGTCCTTCTCAAGGCACAGATAACAGACTGCATGGATAGTTTTAAGAAGAAAGAGTTAGACAAACACTTGGTGAGGGGAGAAAGGTATACTTTCCAAGAAAGAGTATACTGACCTCATCTGAGTTCTGAGCCCAGAGCTAAAAGCACAGGAAAGGAGGAGATGAATATGGCTCAAACGCAAATCAGAGAGGAGTCAAGAGAGGCTGGCTGCGGCACCTGTCTGGGAAGAGTGCTATGTGAAGGAAAAGGAAGCAGGAGGGATGGTGGAGTCAGGAGGAAAAGAAAGAGCACGAGATGAGACGCACAGAATTACCCGAGAGACCAGGTCAGAGGTACCCTCGCTGGCCAGATTCTGCTTCAGTAGACTGAGTTTCTTATTTGCATTTATCTGAAGTATATTCTATTTGCACTGCAGGCCCTTTTGGCAAGCTTTCGAAATCCTTTCTCTCAAGGAGGAATTTTGCTGGATGCAATTTCACAGTAAACAGATCTTGTGGAATTTTAAACATATGACCTTGTCGATAGGGGCTGAAGGCCTCAAGACTAAGGCGGCTTTCTGCACAGCTCTGCTCTCTGGGCGAGCGACTTCTGAGGCGGACAACTGCCGTGCAGGCCACCTGGGGGCTGGGCCAGAGAGACTTTCCGGCCTGTAGACAGCGAGGGAGGGAGGACTGTGTGGAGAAGCTGCAAAATGCTCTAAAATACAGATTTGAAGCTTAGGAATGACTTTAAACTATTCGGATACAAAGCATCCTAACGGGCTTGGAAACGTAGTCATGAACTATTTTGATAACTAAGTCAAACCTTACAAGGACAGCAGGAAACGTCTCCCCACCGCCAAGTGTGAGGGCTTTCACCTCAGACCACTGCAGCCGCGGTGCCTTTGGGCAGGCAGGTTCATGTAGGCATGGTGACATGGTGACACCGCACATCACTCCTCCCTGCTTTGTGTCGCAGGCCTTTTAGGACATTAGTGAGAACCACTAAACGTAGGCGCAGACAGGCACCCCACCTGGAGCAGCCTCGCCACCCAGGATCACTGTTAGCAATGCAAACTATTCTTTCCCTCTGCTCCCGGGGCTGAGCACGCCTGCGGACGAGCCCTCAGGTTCAGTGTGGAATCATGACTGCTGTGTCCACCGTCAAGATTGAGTGTACGTGGCCCTAACAAACATGGATGGACCTCTTGACCAAAATCATTCAAAACATGATTCTGTCCCAAGAACAATGAGACAAGCAGACAGAACAGTCTTGGAGCATTCTGAGACGATGTCTACAAAGCACAGGACAGGTTAGGCACAGACCGAGAGACAGGTGATAATCCCTAGAATATCAGCTAGCTAACTGTCATTTGGGGGACAACTGAACAAAGCTGCTGAAACATGTGACAGAATCGGAGTGGCTACACGGAGCGCATTACAGAAACTCTGCACAAAGAGAGGCCAGGTGACCGCACTCGACTTGCCTGCCAAGGACCAGACAGATCATCTCCAAATACCACAAACAGGGATGTGTGCTGACTGCGGGTAAACCCCTCCCACACTTGCCAGCCCTGGTAACGAGATATACTGCCATTAACGACACAAGAAGTGTGCCACGTGACTTAGAGACAAGACAGCCCAAGACCCTGAAACCTCACCGTATGACATTTCTAGATGTAGGTGAACGTGCTGGGGCTTTGACAGTGGCTTTATGGTTGTGGGAATGGCGAGCTGAGACCAAGACACACGTTGCATTAAGGATTTCGCAATGGGCCAGTTTATGCCGGACAGTGATCTCACAGTGCGAGGGAGATTCTTGATATTCCTGTGAACCATCTTTCGCTAAAGCTAACACACACACATATATCTATATCTATATCTATATCTATATCTATATCTATATCTATATCTATATCTATATCTATATCTATATCTATATCTATATCTATATATGACCTACAAAGGCATCCTAATGTGACACAGCATGACAGACGCATTTGTCAAAGTTTGGCATTGTGGATCCCAGGCATCTGACAAACTGTCACCTTGCTTCACACCCATCTTTCTGAGGAACACTGAGAATCAAGTCATATGCTTTCCTGATAGAACCCTATGGAACCTGGGCTCAAGCCCAATTTGGAGAAGAAGAAAGTGTCTACCAGCAATAACCAGCTTTCTCAGCACCTCCTCCCTCCTGTTGAAAGTCAGCTGTCACTTTTGCCCTGAGATAAGTCTGTCAGCTCACCTGTTCCAACATGTCCTTGGGAAGATCTTCCTGCTCGTCCATGGTTAGAATCGCCCGTTTGATTTCATCATTGGATAATTTCAACCTGAAGAAAGAATATCGTATTTTGTAGTTAACGATACTGGCTTGAGTAGTACAATTTAATGGACGATAATTCATTTTGCTACTCCAGCTGCTGATTTTCAAATACCGTTTTGCTCAAAACCTCTCAGTGGAAGCTTATTTCCTAACAATACTGCACCTAAAAATAGTATTTTGAAACTGCTCTAACATTCTTTCAGGGCTCTGTAATGCTCTGCTGACACAGCGAACAAAGCTGTTATGTTCTATCCTTTCGTTTCCTTGAGCCAGGGACTGGCAGCGAGAAGCAGGGGCTACGCCCACACACCATTTTCCCGACTCTGCACGACGGCAGGTGCAAGAGGAGAGCTGGGTCCCTCGTTTCGTTGTATATCAGGAGTGTTGACAGCTTGCTGTCATATTAAAAATGGATTTAAATAGTTTAGAATCTATGTTGTTAAAACACTGAACAATAGTTAATATAAAAAATAAAGTGTACAAGCACTTCATAGTTGAGGAATTTTCACATTATTTCATCAGAACTTCAAAATCACTGTGACGGTCTTTTTTTTTTTTTAATAGAGGAAGAAACTGAGCCTCAGAATAGTTAAGAAACTTGCCCATGGTCAAACATATAGAAAGTGGCAGTATCTCACACAAACCCAACATTTTTGATTGCTAATCCCAAGTTCATTTTATAAATATTGCTTACTTAATTAATATCTCATAGGGAAGGATTTAAGCAAAAACACAAATCTGTTTTCTATCATAAATTTATATGATTTACTTATTTAATTAAGGATTTATGTCTTGCTTATGTCAGGCACCAAAGTGTTTACTGTAAAGGGTTGTGAAATTAAAACATACTCGTAAAAATGTGTCTTTAGTAGACACAACCAATAGTCATAACCAGGGCAAAGTGTCTTAATTACATTATTAGCTGTAAACAACAGAGTCATTCTTTTGTTTTATTTGTAAGCATTCGACACAGACTTACTTGAAAAATCACACTTCCTTACAAACTACCAGTAATGTGGCATATTAACTTCATTTGCTCTGTTCTAGTTTATGATCTCCAAAAAGAGTAATATTTAGGACTAGAGAGAAAGACATAGACACAAACATAGAGTGAGATGTACAGCCCTCACATCTAACATCTGAGACGGGATTTGACATCAGACAGGCTGGGCCTGTCCTGGCTCTGACACTTCTTGGCCAGAGTGACCTTGGAAACGTGTTTCTTTAGCCTCAGTTTCCTCATCTATAAAATAGGGATAATAACTACATTTAAATAAAGGAGTGGGTGTGTGTGAGTGTAAACTTTAGCATAGTACCTGGCCATAGACAGGCTCAACACAATGCAGGTGTACTCTCCAAGGCAGACTCTTCTACACCAGAGAAAAGGGCAGCGGTACTTATGTAACCTTCATTGTCACATGCAGTTATTTGATCATTAAACAGCACTTAGCAGGGTTATTGTGAACACTTCCCAAAGTACTCTCATACCCATTATTTCACCATAGCCTCCTCTCTGCATACACTACCCATTAGGCCTGGGAGTATTAAAAAAGAATTAGAAGATGTAGTGTTTATTTTAAAGGTGGGTATAATGTTTGGGAGAATCAAATGATAAGCTGAGACACTCAAGACACAAGCGTACGCAAAGCATGCGTGGTTACGGTGTTCTCACAGATACACGAGGGCGCTGGATGAGAGTGGGGTGCACACAAGGGCCAAGGAGGAGGAAAGAACACCAGAGAGGAGCCCACTCTGCACACCTCTGGCTTGTCCTTTCCTCTAGATTTTGATGTGATCTTGCTAAAACCATTCATCCCGCCATTTAAATGGAACGCTGTCTCATGTGCCAATAAGTAGGATGAGGAAGAAACAACAATACACACAGAGTTGAAGAAACAAGGCCCATTCTATCGCCTGGTCCTAACCATCAGAACTGGGCCGTGGACAGCAACCCTGGACCTGAGCAGATTTCCAGACTGGGTTAGTCATCCTGGGGACAGTCAGTGCCCCATAATCATGATGTGCACTAGAACAGCGTGGTGGAAAAGCCCCAAACCTAAACAGAACAGCTAGGCAAGTTGGCACGGGTAAAATGAATGATGGAAAAAACTGTACCCCAGCCTCAAGGGCTCCACTGGACAGGCCTTGGGCAGCCCTAGGTCCAGGACGCCAAAGGCTCTGCAGCCAGTTAAGGGCAAACACCACGGTGCGGCCCTGCCAGGCCGAGGAGGAGAACTTAGGGAAGGTTGAAACTGCCACTAATGAAAACCAACTGGCTGTGGAAATGTTTCTAGTCATCATGAGAAAAGCCTGCTTACAAGAAAAAAATAAATTAGTTCTCTGTCCTTTTCACACAGAGTTGAAGAAACCACTTTATGGTGCAGTTCTGCTGAGTCCTTCTGTTTTGCATTTAAAAGAAAAGGAGTTGAAAATCAGAGTGAGAACAATCCTTGAAGTATCAGATTTGCATTTCATTAGCTCCCCATATGGAGTGCAGAACTTCTTGCTTTTGAAATTGTATATATTTATGCTCCTCAACAACCTCCCCCGCCCCTCAGGCTGTCTGGACTAAACACCAGCTCTAATTCATAACAATTTTGGTTTCTCTTAATGTGGTCCACAAAGAGACTCGAAACTTTAATGGATAGTACTTAAGAAAATCTACCTGTCAACGTACCGCCTTGCACGTGGCCTGGTGGAGCAGACAAAGAAGCTATACCTTTGGGGAAAGAGGAGAAGGGTATGCTGCCCTCCGGGATGGTTCCATAGGTTGCTGAGTTCTTAGTATCATCTGTCATCCACAGAATGAGCTGCTAATCTCTGTAATTTAAGGACCCTAGCAGTTCTAACCTTTTAATTGCTTTTAAAGCTTGGCAGCGGTGTTCTGGTGTGCTGGGGGGTGGCAACTTCTAAGACATCCACTTCAACTTTCTTTAGCAGGCAGGAAACAAACTGGCCATTTAAAAACAGTATTTAAATCTACCTTGCTTTACTCAAGTATTTAAAAAATGTGCCAAGAGAATTGGAATATCCAGGCGTAATTACAATAAGTCAGGGAAGGATGGCTACATCGGCTTCAGCTCTGCTTCAGTGGATTTAAGCCAAATCCTCCTACTTTAAAGTAGCTTTTTGTGGTTTACTACCCCCCGGCTGCCGTGTTAAGTGAGCATCTGGAGAAAAGAATGGCAGGACACTTCATAAAAGTGTTTTTTAGGTGGGTTCATTTTGCAATATAAGCCAGCTTCCAAGTTTCTTCCTGTCTTCTGTATTTTTTTCCCTTTTTGGAAGGGAGAGGTCTGTTTTGGGGAATAAGGCAGAGAGGATTTCGGATTGCCACACGCCGCCTACAGACACGCGGTAGGAAGCTGCTCACTCTGCCTGTGGCCTGAGGAATGGGTTCTGCCGCCACACCCTACTCAGGTCTGTGAAAGGCATGGTCCCTGGTGGCCTGGAGCTTCTAATTCAAGCTCCTACCTTCCAGGCACTCTTCCTAGGAGCTAAGAGTGACCCTGGCCACTCATGCTGTGAGCACGTAGAGAGGGACTGTACCTCCCCCTTGCTCGGTCCCTGGGATGGGAAGGGCATTCTTTCTGTCCGTCTGCTCAGCCCCAGGTGAGGCTGTGGCAGGTGTCTCTGACCAAAGGGCCCACTGACTTTTGCAGTGTGTGTGGGTAAGGAAGAACTTTTAAGGATAATCAAACACCGCAGACATGCACTCATTACAATGGAATACACCACAGACTTCACTGTGGTGAAATCTGATGTAATGACTGCACTGCTGGGAATTAAATTCCTAGTCAGCAAGATAAGAAACAGAGAGGGCTGCCACCCTTTGGGAATGAAATAAGCAGAAGAGAAGAAAGATAGTAAATGTGGAAAGGTAAGAAATCTTGACAGCAACTTGGAAACGTTCCTATTCATTGTCCCCATGCACAAGTCTCCACGTCCTGTTCGGGGTTCCTTTGCCTCTCTCAACTCTGTCTCTCCTCAGGCCTCACTTGGGCAAAAGACAGAGCCTCCCACCTCATGGCTGCCTTTGCCTCCAGTTCTTGACCCATTCCAACCTATCCTGCAAACCTCAGAGATCACACTCGCAACCTTATTAAAACAAAGTGATCTCCTGAACAAACTGCACCGATCTGCGATGCCCCGGGCACACGCACAGGCCGACTGAGCAGCTACCACACGCAGGCATCCGGCCAGGTCTGATTCTCACGAGCTCACTGCCAGGCTGCCCCACTCATTATCTCCATTTTGATGGAGGAGGAGGGGATGGCTCCGTCCTGGGAGGACTCATGCTCTCATAGAGGCACCAGGCACGGACTGCAGGCTCTCCTGCCTGGTCTCGGTCAATCCAAGTGACAAAGGTCTGCTGCAGTCCCAGCGCTCTCTGTATTAGCAGCTTCTGCCCCTCGGCCCTTTCCTCCTGCGCACGCCCTTGGAACTGCCTCCGGCCCCTGCCCACCTAGCTGTCACCGCCCTTCCAGGCCCACTGTCCTAGTGAAACCCGTCGGTGTCCCGCTCACTTAGCTGAGCTCCTGTCTCCTTCCCGTCAGATCAGTCTGAGCCCTGAACTGCTCGCAAGTCACCTCGCCCGTGTCATCCACCTTCTCCAGTTGGCCATGAGCTTCCCCAGGCAGCAGTGCTATCGTAAGTGTGGGTACATCCTAGGACACCCCGCGAGGGCCAGGCAGATAGATGCCGCAAAGCGGCAACTCCCTAAGAGAAAGTACCCACCGTGCCCTCCCAGATCTCCTCCTGGGAGGCCCCGACCTCCTGCAGGGGCAGTAATGCACTGCGAGCGAAACAGGAAGAGAGCAAGGAGAACTGCCGACTGCTTACAGAAACTCAATAAAGACAAACAAATGAAACCTGCATGATTTCTCTTACCTGCACCACAGCACAAGGAGCATGTCAGCCCTGTGCTTCCCCGAGCAGAGTTCAAGCTGCCGGTCACTGAGCGGGAGAAAATGTGCTCAGGAAGCCTCTGGGAGGGAAGGTGTGGGAACCCGATCGACAGGGCTCAATTACCAGAGGGCCAACTGAGACCCCAAATTATTTTATGTACAATAGCTTTTAATTATGTACACTGTAATAACGAGTATTAATGATATTGAATGTTATTAGATAATCTAACCGACACGAGGCAAGGTCTTAAAACTGTCTTCCTGAGAGAGTTTAGACACATTCAAGTTCTAAGTCCCCTTAGGCTCTGACACTTTTGAGGTAACAAGGAAATTATATAGCACAAATATGGAACAATTCCTTCAATAACTAGTGTAAGTACCCTGGATGGCACCTAGTAGTGAGAATAATCTGTCTGTAAGGAGCTGGGTCACAATTTATACTCCTATGAGCACTTAAATACCGTGGAAATTCAGGAGTGACAGCTCCCTCTGTCAAATTGTTTTAAAGTATTCCTCTAGAAAATACAGAAAAAAATTCTAGAATTAAAAAAAATTTCCCCCAGATTTTCATTTCATTTGTCTGTTAAAAACGTTATCTGTAAAAAGATATTGGCACAGCCCTGGCCAGGTGGCTCAGTTGCTCGGAGCATCATCCTATACACCAAAAAAGGGTCGCAGGTTTGATTCCCAGTCAGGGTAGGTAGACAAGGCAACTGAGCGATGTTTCTCTCCCACATTGATGCTTCTCTCTCTCTCTCTCCCCCTTCCTCTCTCTCTAAAATCAATAAACATATTCTTAGGTGAGGACAAAAAAATTTGGAACAAAACAGACTGTATATACTACAGAAGAAAAATGAGAGACCTTCAGTTATTTTCAGTGGTATCTTCCTGAGCATGTGACCAGAGAGCAAAAGTGGGGATAAATCCAGGGCCCGGCCATTTACACAGCCTCCTTTCTTCCAGAGGCAGAAATGAAACGCTAGCGAACAGGACGGGTCATGTTACCTCACTAGTTGTATTAAAATTCAGGGATCTCACTAGGCTTCAATTTCTCTTTCACTAAAAGAAACATTTGGTCCCTGAAGTAATATATATCTGGCTACAATCAAGCTTCCATGCTGAAAACCAAGCAGTAGCTCTTTGTGTTAAAAGAAACTTACTCTAAGACCATCTAAAAACTCAGGACGACGACTTTCCCTCTTTGCTCTCCCTGAAAGAGAAGTGACCTTACACCAGCCTCAGTGCACACCCATTTTTTCTAGAATGTAACCAATGGGACCACACTTAAAGCCTCAAAGTTCAGGCTTCTTTACATCTTCATTCACCTAATAAAGCAGTAGGTATCTTTGCCTAAGGTGCAAGCTCCTTTTGGAGAAAAGAAGAAACCAGATCCAGACAGGCTACTAGAAATGCCCACGACGACCTAAAGCAACAATCAGATTCCAGGCTCCCACATTTCCTTTCTTCTTTTCAAGATCCAGGGTCGTGACGGTTCACTAATTATGAGAAAGATTTCTGAACAGGGCCGAATTAGATAAATTAGCATTTCATTGAGGTTTGAGATATACATATTCTTTTAGTTATAAAAATGTTCAGAAAGAGCATGACATCACATAAACTCAAAGTATATAAAGATGACTTTAGAAAGCAAAAGTGAAAAAGAAAAGAGGCTTCATCATTGGTCCCGATTCTGTGACAGTGTTACTCAACGGCCAAAATATCTCTGAGGCCAAGACATATAAATAAAAGCAAAGTCCATTTCACAGGCTATCTTGGAAAAAAACAACATACACAACAGTGACTTGGGAAGGTCTGCTTTTTAAATTGAGGAGTCTGTGGAAAGTAAACTCTAAGAAAGCAGGCGACCAACTCCATCACATTCCAGGAGGGAAGGCGCGCACCACAGCTGCCCTCGCCTTAGATGGGAGAGCCCGAAAACAGACCCATCCAGAGACCAGTTACCAGAACCAGTGGGAACGTGTGCTGCGGAGCCACACGGCAGAGAAGGTGGCCCTACCAGAAATGTCTGTTCAGCATCAGCAATACCTTGACAGGAGGATGTTGCAGTTCTGAGCCCTCCGACCATCAATCACCGAAAGCTCTTTGACTTTAAGTTTGGAACTCAGTGTGTCGTCGATGGCATCTGCTTCTTTCTGTAAGGAGCGTGAAAGAAATCCATCACAGTCAAATAGGGACAGTCCGACTTCAGACACATACTTTTCCTTTATATTTTCTGCACACACACACACACACACACACACACACACACACTCAGCAAAGCTGAGATGGGGGGGGGGCGTAGGGAGGTGGTAGAATTGACACAAAGACTAAAATCTAGTAGACAAAGGAAAATAATAAGGAAAGCTGACCACCCACATTTGAAAACGCATTATTTGGAAGAACAAAATGCTTCAAAGTTGAAGATGCTAAGCGTGCATCAATTATCAGTGAGTGTGCCCTCCTTTTGTCCCCAAACCCCTTTGGATAACAGACAGGACTGTCACTATGAATGAAGCTCTGCCGAGGCCTGCCATTGCCGGTCCGGCCACTTGCAGGGCACATTCACCCCAGAACCATTTGCATCCTGAGCACTCCAAAAGCTGCACAATAAAGATTCCCAAACGTCTTCATGTGCAACAGGAAGCTACGAAGCCCAGACGGTACCTTTCACTACCCTGGAGCCTGACGGACAGCTCAAGGGGAGGGGGCAGCCCAAGGCACTAGACGCCTGCGTTAACGAAACACGGCCTCTGTGCTGGCTGCTGCACAGAACGCTGTGAGCAATGATGGCCAGTCGTAGCTTAGGTGGGAGGCGATGAAACAATTATCTATAAGATACTGTTTGAGTAAGCTGGGCATCAAGGTAAAAACACACACCAACTTGGTAAATAGCAATTTTGATCTTATTAGAGGTCAGTATCCATTTAAAAAAAATGTAAGGAACCCAAGGAGCTGTGGAATTGTGTAACTGCTGAGGAAACAGACAGTGTGGAGTTTCTAGTAAGAGCGCCATGTGAACAAACTGAACCGCTGTCTTTGGTCGTGATGAGACTGCAGTTAAGAGCTGAAACCCAACTTGAAGTGACCTCAGCTCTCCGTTACACTGCCTGAACAAACGAGACTTTCCGAGCTCCTAGAGAGCCAGGAGTTGACGCGAAGCAAGGTTCAGGTGGTCGCTCACTTACCTGCTTGGAGTTACCGCTCACAAAGAAGTCCTACAGCCAGGCCGAGGCATGAGAAAGGCAAATCAGATACATGCAGCTCAGAAACCACAGCAACCAACAGGGGCAAGTCAAGATCAGGGAGGGGAAAGAGGCGACTGTGCCCCTAGGGGGGCCGTGAGGGTTAATGAAGATGAAAATCCTGGTTGAAACACAAGTAAGGGCGTGGTACTGAGCTTTGGGGCACACAGGGAAGACCATGTGCTGCACCTCATCTTCACTGGTGGAAAATCAAACTGAGGAAAGAAAGGACTTAAAACACTCCAGCAAGACTCAAGTTGGAAAAGGAACACATCCTGTTTGAAAGGCTCCAGGGACTCAACATGATTTTTACTTGAAGTAAAAAAAAAAAAAGAAAGCAATTGAATTAACTTAAGAAAATTATCCCCACTGTCATATACTACTATATATATATATTTGGTGGAAGTAATCCCTGTTTTCTTGTATCATAAGGGAGGATTATGAAAAGACAGAAGACTGGTTCAACAACACCCGTCAGCAGTATTGACCCTCAGTACCGTCCAGAGTCCAACAATGCCTGTAGGTGCTGCAGGGAGGGAAAAGACAGTAAGGGGTTTGTGTGGTGTGCTCCCACTGGGGACCCTGTCCCAACCGCCTCGGGGCTGTTTCAAGCACACAAAAGTCAACAGCCTCTTCTTGAAATAGCCCATGGAATCTTGGAATGAAGAAGAAAAAGAGGAAGAAGTAATTGACATGGTATGAGAAAGTCACAGCTTTCTTGGCATATTTTTGCCATGATGGAATGAATAGCGCTTTGGTGTGCAAAACACACCCAGCTTTCGGCCAACCGCTTGCACAAGCAGCATTTGCTCAGCGAATTCCTTCAGGCCTCACTGGTCCTGGCCGCCCCACCAAGGCCAGTTTACACAGATGAGCTGCTTCACATTCTTCTAGTGGGAAACAGTGTCCCCTCCCCTGGCTCCACCCAGACAAGGAGGATTGCTTTTCTAGAATGACATTTAAAAAATAATTTTGATAACCACGAGAAACCTTTCTTCTCCCTTGATGTCCCAGTTTTCTTTTGTCCTTGTGGTAATTTGTCAACTTTTCTACTCTAAGACTCCTTAGGACTCTTTTCCTGTAAAAGCAGCTTCTCCTTTCAAGGGCGGAAAACACGATGATGATGTGAACTCCGTGAGGTGTTGCCCTACTTTGCTCTCTTAAAGAAACAGGTTTATCTAGCCTTCAGAAAAGAAACTTCTAAGAAGTTCTCTAGCAACTCTCCATAAGTTCCCACCGTCAGGAAATTAAGACTTCTGACCTCTACTGCAGTGGGTATGGAATCAGACCACTATCGATAACTAGGCGTGTACTGGTGCTCAGTCCGTCCAGAAAAAGGGCTCAACAACTGGATTATTAGTGTGAAGATTAAATGTGATAATGCGTGTAAGCGTTTTGTACAGTACCTTACACAGAGCTATGAGCTCAATACTTGGAAGCTATCATAAAATGATCTCATCTTCCAAGCTGAAGATCGAGTCCTTTGTTTTCTCCTACTGTCCTGCTTCAGCTGAGACGAAGAGTTGGTCAAGACCTCCCACTGGTGAGCAGCAGCAGCAGTGAGGGTCAGTTAGTAGTTAAGGAATGTATCCATCTTTCCCGAGGTGAGGATGAGGAATGCCATGGAGAGTTTGGTTAACTGCTAGCCTTATGATTTCCCTTCTTTTAGGTTCCTTTAATCATCACATTTTAAATAAAATCACAAAGTTTATTAGATGGGGCATGGCAAAAATAACAATGTTTCCAGGCCTATTTCAAATAAGTCAACATTCTTTTTCAAACCTTAAATTCTTCACTAACTGGCTTGAACTGAACATGATAGAATCGTCTGTATTTGGCACCATCGAACAGGATGCCTGATTTTTCCAGATGATTTTTGGTGTAGAGCTTTGGGCAGGGAATATAAATAGGAAGTTGGGACTTGCATTTTCAGGAACTAGTGCTAACAGATTCCTATAGATAGGGTTCCACAATGAAATAATGACTCAACACTTCTTGGATAATAATAACTCTTACATGAATGGTTCTTAATTTTTGAGGTTGAGATTCCTTTGTAAACCTGATAAAAGCTGGGGATTCCTCTCCAGAAAAATGCATACACTAATATTTACATAAACCCTGCATTTGATTAACTCTTACCATGCAGTGAGGTTCTAGACCCTCTCCCTTATACTTGAATCTTAAGAAAAGCCATCATGCACAATTTTCTCTTTGGCGTTCATATGCCATAGCTAAGGGCCAAGATTACTGAAACAAATATCTTAAATCACATAAGTTTTCCATGTGAAAACTAGATATACAGGAAAATAAAAAATATAAAAAAATAGAAAGGGCCCTGACCAGTTTGGCTCAGCAGTTAGAGCGTCAGCCTGCGGTCCGGAGAGACCCAGGTTTGGTTCCCGCTAAGGGCATGTACCTTGGTTGCAGTTTGGCCCTGGCCCTGGTTGGGTTGTGCGGGTGGCGGCCACTTGAGGTGTCCTTTTTACATAGACATTTCTCTCTCTCTCTCTCCCTCTCTCTCTCTCTCCCTCTCTCCCCCTCCCACTCTATCTGAACAAAAAGTGAAAAAATGTCCTTGGGTAAGGATAAAAAAAAAAAGGAAAATGCTTTGAGTATTTATAAAAATCAGAAGATACCATCAAACGTTCCAAAAGGAACCCCAAGAATGATTTCTGCATTGCATATTGGCAGGAGAGATCAGACTGTGGAGCCCGAGAGGCAGTTACCCTTTGTTCCCTAAATCAGAGCAGAGAGGCTTTGAAAGATGATTCTATGTGCTGACAATAGGACCTGTAAAGAAGAGGTATCCGCAGGCAAACAGCAGGGAGGAGGAATGAAGACAGTGAGCTGCTAATTTATTACTACAAAGATAGGACTTCCTCTAGGTAAATGTCAAGTTTATTTCCCTCTGTCCCATGGCATGAATATGGAGAATTAATTTATAACATCTCAGGATAAAATTTCCCACAAAACCAACCAAGATGAATAGTGTTCAATTGTATCTGAAATAGTATTACTATGTAATGTGCTACATTATATAATATAGTAACCTTTTGTGGCTGGCCTATATATTATAGTTTTAATGAGAAAAAGAGGTTTTGAGATTCAAGAAATTGACTTTCAAATGAACCTTTGGAATGTGAGTCAGGGATACCTGCATGCTATCAAATTCCATTGGATGAGGCTTCTAAACTCACAGTCAGCTCTGCACACCTTTGATATCCACACTGAAAAAATCCTGAATAAGAACGGTCTTGTTCTTAAAACTTTAGTTAAAGAAAATCCTCTATAAAACCCAACCTTCCTAATGAATAAAACCATGGAATAAGAACAATGTGAAACTAAGAATTATGCCACTTGTACACCTGGCCGTGCCGCCTGTTTGGACAATGAATACACACTAGGCCATTTTTTATTAGCTGTGAAATGAGAATAATACTCACTTCATAGAACTGGTGTGAGGATCAAGATTAAAAATAAGTATAAGAGCTCCTTGAGAACTATACTGTAGGGTTGATGAGACTGGGAACTGTATATATCATATTCAGTACCCAAACTGATTATCAATTTTGATTATCATCTTTCAGTCTATCTTATGGTTATTTTTATTTAAAGATTTTCCTCATTTCTGCTTTTATACCACAAGTTGCATTGTAGGCCTGTGCAACAGTTTACTACATTTGCATCAATCTGAAGTAGTTCATATACAAAGCAGACAGTATAACTATTTGGTTCTGCTTTTAATGATACAATGTTTCTCAAATCAGTGGAGCATGTCTTGTGCATATGTATGTACATATATTTATACAGAATTTCTCCTGAACATCATCAATCAGTGTTCACCTAAATTACACTGATCTGACCTGACCCCTCCATCTCCTTCTCTGCCGTGTTCCTGTCGCGAGCACGCAGACAGGGCACGCGGGAGCTCCTCTCCTCCCAAGAAACTGACTTGGCCAAACAAACTGGCTGAAGTACAGAGAGTTTGACCAGGGTTGTTTTTTGTTTGCTTGTTTGTTTGTTTGTTTGTCTGTTTTTACCTCTGGAGGGAAGAAAGAGGAGATACCATAAAAAAACCGGTTCCCAGTATTCACTTGGGAGTGGATAAGAAAGCGGTTCAAGTGTGATGACCATTCTCAAGTACTGTGCCAAGACTAAAATGAAAATGCATAGGTCTCTAACACTGTTTTCAGTCGTGAGACCAGGGGACATTCAATGACAGGTACCCCGTTTCCTTATTCTGTCCTACACCTTCCCACTAGGATGCCTGCATCTTTCGATTTTCTGTCTCTTGACATCCAATAAATTCAATTAATTGGCTCAAATTTCCTTCAGTTGGGAGGTATACTTATGGCTTTAAAATTGTCATCTCAAATTCTTGCACCAAGAGGAGAAACATACTTGAATCAAGCTGAGCAGGTGTGTTGAGATTTTTCTCTAGGAAGTGCCATTGAAAATGTCACAAATGATTCGACTTACCAGTGTACTTAGTGTTAAGTACAACTGAAATGTTCTGGTCTATCCTGACTGCAGTGACTACTGATTACTCAAACAGTGACAGGTTGCTAGGAGACAATTACCCACTTGCCAGGCTTTCTGCAGCCCTATCTCCCGGAGCTCTTGCGAACTGTCCACAGATTTGTCCCAGAGCATTTTGGCAGCATCCTTCTGCACCTTCTGCTGAAAGCCAGTTAATTATGAGTCTTGTAAACTTGGGTCTTTCAGCCACCTGCCTTCATAATAAATCCAACCACATGCTCGGACTTGAATAGCATCATTTGGAATAACTGCTGTTTTCCCTTCCCTTAATTTACTTCCCAAATCCTCACCTTCAGCAACCAGAATGGACCAGTATTAGCGATTGAAACTAAAGGAGGAAATCAATGGGTCATGTAATGAGGTCACAAAATTATTTGAATCTACCAGGAAATCAGCTAAAATGCCCTAAGACTTCACGTCAAGGCCCAGAGAATACCTTGCAGCCAACCAGGCACGAGTCTGCACTGAGCACCTGCTGTGCAAGGGCTCTGACACACCCTTTATTTGAAAGTCAAGTGTCTTGCTTCCCACTGGACAACGCCTCCTCTTCCCGTTCATTCCCTTTAACGGTGTGTACGACACTGCACACGTCTGCCTTCCTACCTACAGGCGGCCCCAGCTAATCCTGTTTCAGGGCTATGCTGCCAGGACAGCAACCACTTAAGGTTTTATACTTTTCTAAAACATCATTAACACGCACTGCAGAGAAGCTTTCCCTCTAAGTGAAAATATTCTGGCTAAAGGTCATACCACATTTTCTTTTCAACTGTAGGTGTATCAACGGCCATTTTGAAAATAAAACCTCTCAGCTTTTGTTTCTCCCCCAGCCTCAGGCACCTTCTCCCTAGGTGCTCGGTAGTTCTGTCTTGAGATACTACTCTTTCTTAGGAAGCAGGACAAGCCTGAGCAGACTAGGAAGTGTGCTGCTGGTCTGAGGACGCCCCACCCTGGGCGTGGTTCATTCGGGAGCTAAGGGCTTCCCCGGAAAGGGCCCTGTGAGATGGAGGCATCCCTGTGTTCCTGTTTAAGATGCACTCTGCTCTCCTCATTTCTCTCCCCCGGTCATACTTAAGAATCTTCCTTCTCACACTTGGGGACTTAACTTTCCCCTTCCCAGATCTGACTGACTGTTCGGGACCCCGCTCCACCTTTCCCTGCTCTTCTGAAACTCTCTGAACCTAGCCACCTTGCTGTGACCTCTGCTGGTCCCCCCTCAAAAGGCCCTAAAACACCCTCTCAAGGAGTGAGAGGTTCCACGCAGAGGTGACTGTGGCTCACGAGGTCACACTGACTGCTTGGCCACGTAAGCACTAGGCCACATGCTCTCACGACTATCACAAAAGCTCAGCCAATGTTCAGAAGCTTCTCTGGTCTGAACTGTAATCACTGCCCTCTGTGTGCTTGCTCGGCCCCACATGAGTCAGTCATGTTCCTGACACAGTAAACACTCCCCTCTAGGATCTAGTTAGCTTCCAAGTTATAGTCATTTACCAACCCCTGTACTTCTAAAGGTTCCATCTACTTGAAAAAGCAGTTCAGTTCTGATAATAACCATTTGATATATATTTTTTCAAAGTCAGATAGACGAAATGGCTTCAGAAATAAACACTATTTTGACTAAGCACAGTGATAATAACATACAGAACTTCCACCAATGGAGACGAGGTCCTAGACACACACCAGGGCATGAAGCTCAATAACAAGGAGCTTATATACCTTCGGCATGTTCACACACACATACTGACAGGCACACACGTGTGGACACATACACCAAGCTGCTTTGCAGGAACATGCCAGGGTAGACCAAACAGCCCAGAACTAAGATGCCTATCATGTCGTGGTTATGGCAGGTGGCCCAGGGATCATGCACGAGGACATGTTTTTCCTTCTGTGGCATCTGGAAGGCACATGCTATTACCTGCTGTCTTTGGTAGGCAGAGAAAGTCCGTTCCAGGTCTTCAAGATCTAGAATTTTGAAGACTTTTGTATCATCAATTTCAGTCCATACTGTTCCTTCCAGCTTGTTCTGCAAACATGAAGTTAAGAAGTGCTAGGGTGTACAGTTATTCCCAAAAAGAACAGACGTGGTTACATTTTAACATGCTGTTGTCCCCAACTTTTCATCCTACCAGATGCTCCAAGTGAGCTGCTTCAAACAACGTGCTATTTATTTCAGAAGCTTTACCACTTAAACATCTGAGCTGGTGAGGAAGAGCCCACATTAGAAAATAAAGTCATTTACAGCTAGAACCGCTCCCCCTTCTGAGACAGCCCGTGAGCGGCTGGTACCGCCATCCGAGGACGAATGGAGGGGATGGCTTACCTCAGGCAGCTTGGACCAGTTGAAGGATTTCAGGGCGTTGGTGGGCTGAGGAATGTTTTTCTTCTTTAGTGCCAGGCCCAGTGGAGCACCAGGAGGTGGCATGATGCCCCCTAAGGGAGGAGGCCCTGGGGGAGGAGGAGGACCCCCCGGAGGGAGGGGAGGAGGTGGAGGAGGAAGCATTCCTCCTGGTAGAGGTGGCGGTGGGGGAGGAAGGAGAGACCCTGGCACAGAGGAAGGAAAGGGCCCTCCTGGGGCCCCAGGCGAGGGTCCACCTGGGATTGAAGCACAGACAGCCCTCTGCAAAGATACAAATAGGAGAAAAGAAGATCAACGGAAGAAGTAAATTCACTGGATGACTTTGAGAGTCTGATACTTTGCCTAAAACTGTAGAGAAATTCAGTCTGAGAACGTGGGTTTCCAGGGGCACTAGTTGGTGGACTCGGCTGGGTCCCTTTGTGATGGGCACTCTGGTGCTTGTCTGCAGAGCGTTCACAGGCCTCTCACTCCTGGAACCATCATCCAGTTTGGTTTTGATGGAATCAGTTTTCATTCTAAAAGGCTAATGCATTTCCCTTGCTAGGAGAGGACTGGTATTCAAAAACGTACACTCCAAATCGCCTCTGCTGCCCACCCTGTATGAAAGCAGAGGCAGCAAGTCTCACCACCACTGTGATAAACCCCGAGACGGTTCAGGTTTTATTCCCTCGTCAGGAGCTGTCTACTTAAGGCTGAGGGGCTCCAGGACACCAGTGAGGACAGAAGCCACTGTCCTTGGTCCTCACCCTGTTGAGCTCGTGGAGCTGGGCAGTGAGATCCGCCACCTGCTGCTTGACTTGCTTATGCTCAGTGGTCTCCTTTTCAAGTTTCTCTTTCATTTTATTTAAAGTCTGCATCATCTCCTCCTTCTCTTGGGTCTTGGCGTCACATTCTCTCTCTTTCTTCTCCAATTTCTGTTGTAGCTCATTGTGCTCTGCACAGGAAAACAATCAGACATGAAAACAAGGGACTCTTCAAAGCTGAAGCATTTTCTCTCAAAAGAAAACTGACTGAGGATTGGGAGGCTCTTTATTAGGTAAATATTATTCCTCTTCCCCACGAAGGGGAGCGACTTGCAGGCTCAATGGTGCTTGTACTTGGAGGGGCTTCAGATGAACAACCCTATTAGCGACAACATTTTGTAAAGGACGGGGAGGAGAACGGTGCCTGTTTGGTACTTGATTCAGAATCCTGCCACAGAAATGCCTCTTTACCTACACCAGAGAAAACGAACATTAAAAGGGCCTCTTTCACAAATGAGCAATGGGAAGGAGAGAGGCCCAGGGTTTATTACTAGGTCTTCTGGCTTGTGTCCAGCTAGCGGAGGGGCCGAAAGGGAGGGCCTTGCGCTGTGCGGCCCACTACTGCCTGCCGGGTGTCTGTCCCAAAGCAGTCCTTTCTCCCACCCCCTCAGAGGGCAACTTGGACTAGAAGAATTTTATGCTTCTGGGAAACACTTCTTAGAACTTGTGAAAGCAAATGTTATCATCTCGGCATTAAATATCTTTAGGGCAGTAGTACTGGCCGAACACGAGAATCACCACACTACGGGGAGGAGTGCTAGCAGCCCTCCGCGGTGTTAGACTTCCAGTCCTGCTATCATTTAGCCCGTGTTGTTTACTTTGCCAGTACGCCTGACTCAGCACTAATGGGAGTGACGAGCTTTGGAAAGAGGACTGATGAAGTTTAGGCCACAGAACTTTATTTCAATACTTGGCCCCAATTTCTGTTCTTTTTATATCAGTAAACCCACTAGAGATCTAACACACTGGGGCAGAGCTACACAGAATTAGTCTCTATGTCTGAATTTGATAAACACATTTAAAATGTTGCCTTCTCTATCCCTTACTTTTCCTCTTCTGAGTGCTCCAAAATCAGAGTTTGCAGAGAAGGGTTCAAGACACCAAAGTCCTTGCATTTTACCAGCCTTGGAATGAGGTGACCATTAACGCACTGGTACCATTTCGTGCAGTCAGACACATCTGCGAGCCCCTCCCTGTCTCCATTTCCTTCTGTGTCTCCCTTTCATTGCTCTTCCACAGCTGTAAGACTTGACTTGCCATCACCAGTCACGACCCTTTGACAAATCTGGCCTTGCCTCAGAACCACCTGGGAGAGTCACATCTCAGGACCCCCAGACCCCGTCCCAGGAAGTCTCTTCTGTAGGCTGAGGGTGGGGCTTAGGGACGTGTGGTGCTCCTTAGATGATTTTGATGTCATGCTAGGTTTGGGAAGCTCCAGCCTAAAGGATTCTCTCCACAAATGGCACCCACTTCTCACCCATTCGCTAAGCTTTGAGTCAGCATTCCCTGGTGTGCCGCACGGAGGGCATTCCCCACCTCTCAGGCGCAGAACTTCCTGTTTCCTCGTGGCCTCCACCCTCTGACTAATGCACCAGCAGTGCCCTCCTTAATACAGCTCGGCTACTTGAAGCTTCCAGAAAAGAATTCATTTTATCTACTACGTCTCCTTTCTCACTCTATCCTTGACCTCACTTGAAAACAGCCTGTCCTCCTACTGACCATGGCTATTTTCTCTTGTATCCCTGTGGCCACTGAAATCCTACCCAAGTCCCTACATTGATTGTGCAGCTAGCATGTGTCTGACACTATGCTACAGCCCTTACATTCCTTTTGTCATTTAACCCACAACAATCCTGTGATTTAGGTTTAATCTTCGTTTTACAGAGGAGGTGCGAGAACTGGACTTGGCCTACCCACACGAACAGGGGCAGAGCTGAGACTCAGCCCCGGGGCCAGCACAAGGCCCAACACATACAGACGCCCAGTACGTATCCCCTGAACGAGTGAAGTACTCCAAAGCTCATGTCCTAAGTTCTCTCCTCAACTTGTACACCCTAGTCTCCATCCTCTAAGGGCGTATCCCTAAATACCACTCACTGACCATTTTGGTATAACTTCTCTTTACCCTAACTTTTAGTCAGTATTCCTATTTTTTTCTACAGAAGTTTCTAGAATTTATTTATAGAAATGGATGTACAACCTTACTTCTGAATTCTTTTGAGGAACCTGAAATATTGCAGTACTTCACATTTCATGTTTTCCCCTGTTGGTGGTGGCCCTGCCTGTTGCTCAATGAAGAGGGTCAAATGTGACAAGAAGGAAGGAACTGCTTCAGCATCTCTTGGATCTTCTTTCCAACAGTGAGTATCGGGGTGAGTGCTCATTTCTGTTTGGTTCATCCTCACCCGAGGATATTTTCCCATTGACTTTTTTTAGGTAGGATGGAAGGTGGGGAGAGAAAGACACACATTGACTAGTTGCTTCCTGTACAACCCAGACCAGGGCTGAGGATCAAACCTGCAACCCAGGTACATGCCCTTGACCGGAATCGAACCCATGACCCTTCGGTCCACAGGCCGATGTGCTAACTGCTGAGCCAAACCGGCCAGGGCAGGGATGAGTGCTCTCGTATTTCACTGGTTGTGACTAACTAGGACAAGGAACAGGAAATCAATGAAGAGTAGCGGCTGGGAGTATGACTGTTTTCTCAAAGGGGCCAACTTAATTTGCTAATATTTTGAAGGAGTGGAGAAAGGTATATCCACTCTGTGAGTGGCTGGCACGGCGATGGGCACAAATGACCCTCCTGTCATTTGGTGCTCAGTGTTAATATCAAAGACCTACCCAAACACTTACCAATAGCTGGCCTGTTAATGTTTCGTAAACACATGTCTACAATGGTCAGTGACCCTCTGCATCATTTCTCTGTTTATAACTGGTGCCAAATTATGGTCATGTGAAGAATTGGACTTGTGAAACCCAATGCCCTGTGTTTCTCTTTCAAACTCGGGTAGTCCTTGTGTTCATTAGTACATTTCTGAAAACCCGGGGTGCTTTAAAAAGCAGCTATGGAGTGGGGGGTGGGTTGGGAAGATTGGTAGTTAAGAAAATTTGAATTAACAAATATTGAACAGTAAATATTTCAAGCTTTTCCAAAATATGTATATAGTTCCATTAAAAGGATAAAATTTGGGAATTAGCATGACAACTAAAATAGTTCAATTCAAGAAAAACCAGTACAAAATGCCCACAGGACATGAAAAAGACTTACACATTAAAGTCAATAAGCTGCATCAATGTAAATTTCTAAAATATACAGAAAGCAGAGTTCCCCAACAACCAATAACATGCTCTGTTTTCTTGTCAGAGCCTCATCACTTACCTTTTCTCATTTTTTCTGCTTGTTCTTTCCACTGCTTAACTTCATTTTCATTAACCAACCTGTAACAATTTAAGTACATTCATTACAAAAAACATAAAAGGCCACTGCTAAATGCATGCTCCCTCGGTGCAAACTAGTCCACCCCAGGGCAAACCCGCAGCATGCCTGAATCCCACTTCAGTTCAGATGAGACTCAGACATAATACATAAGCATATAAAGGGATTAATATTTGACCTCTAGAATATTTCAGTTCTCCCAGCTGCTATTTTAAAGTAGGATTAAAATAAATGTCTTACATTGTCACTATTATCTCACAGACAGCCAAATAAGAAGGAACTTACATCCGTACGACATTCTTAATATTAAAGTTTTCCAGAGGTGTGGAGTCAGGGTCCTGTCCTTTGTCATTCTGGATGACTATTTGCTGTATAATTCTATCTAGTAGTAGCCAGTACTGAACGGTGTTGCCGCTTCTCTTGTCTAAAAAAGAAAACAATGGTGGAAAATACTTCAGGTTATTTCTAAACTAGAACAGATATTTTTCAACAGTGGTCACCCGAAGGCCCAGCCACAGAACCAGAGAGATGTTTACATCTGTACCTACGCTTCCCAAAGTTCCGGAATTCAGACCTGTGATGATCATGTATCTGATTGAAAGGAGCTTTCTATCCCTTTCTAAGGGTGTTGCAGGCATATTCTTACTTTAAAAATCAAAGTAAGTTATGATTAATTTCACTCTGAGAACTTCACAACACCCCATGGGCTGTGTGGAGACACACTGGGATGTCACAAAACCAAGGACTGAAAAATCCCTGCTGTGCACCCAACCTAAGCAGCCCTGTTCAGAAGATACAGCTCTTTGGATGATGTCCAAACATTCAAAATAAGGGTCACAAACACTCACAAGGCATTTGGAGGCAGTGGTGCAGGATGGACATGAAGTGAGGGTAAGCTTCACTATGGGTCAGCCTCTTCCTGGTCAGCTCAAACATCTGAGTTGCACTTTTGGTGTCTATGTGAACCTATTTCATATGAAAGAGAAATCTAAGTCAACACCCGAGTTCCTCCATTCCCACAAGGCAAGGTAAGCAGAAGCTCATCCAAGGCAAACAGAAGCTCATCCTGCCACTTGGGGAGCAAGAGAACCGATGGGGCTCTGAGGTCACACCGCTCCGCCTGGACCCCCACGGTCACACCGCTCCGCCTGCACCCCACGGCTCACTGAAGAGAACCGATGGGGCTCTGAGGTCACACCGCTCCGCCTGGACCCCACGGCTCACTGAAGAGAACCGATGGGGCTCTGAGGTTACACCGCTCCGCCTGCACCCCACGGCTCACTGAAGAGGAAATTCCGCGAGCTCGTGAGTCAAAGTCGGAAGAACTGTGAGCATACGTACCAGTTCAAATCTTTTGGCAAATTCTAGTTCATCTTCATTTCGGAGCATTTCAAAAAAGTCTAAATGCCTGAAAGACAATTAAAGAGAAGCTATTAAAAGTAGAATACTCTACAAACACAGGCACATAGGAATCAAGTCTGGGAAACAGATGCAGGGCTAATGCCAAAAACCACACTAAGTTCTCTACACAATATGTTGTTTCTTTCATCAAGAAAGTCTTAATATAATAAACATCATTAGCCAAATTAACGTTCTGGTGCAAGTACCTTGCGTTACAGACAGGCTACCAGTCGTTCACAGAGGGCACTACACACATGGAAAAAGCATGAACCACCGCAGAGCGTAACCGTCTAACTTACCTATCCAATGTTGAATTTTCATGTTCCCTTAATTTATCTATGACAGGTTGAATTCCTAACATCAGAAACTCATAGCGAAGATGAAGTCTGAAGTCCAAACTTTCCTGAAAGTAAGAGGGTGATAAGATACATATTTACGCTTTTTAGACTACATAGTTAGTAATCTTTCAAAACAATTCTTTACTATATACTTTATGCTGTGGTACAGAGGTTCTTACCACTCCCGCGCCTTGGCTCAGCACGGCATTGATGAAGGACATGATGGCAGTCTTGAGGCTCACTTCATCTCGATACCGCCCCGTGCTTTTATCCAAGTCGTTAATTAACGTCTACCAAGGACACAAAGAGAAAAACAAAGTACTGAATCATTATTGACCTTCCACTCATTTTATTAATTTTTTTATACTCAGAAGTTAATTTTTAAAATCTTGTGTTTAGTTGGAATTACATTGATCCATAAAAAGCCACTTTTAAAAGATTAGGCCTAAAAAATTTCTCTTTCAAAATTCTTAATATCATTTATGTTCATATGTACGTGTACACAAAGTACAAAAGACTGTGCTTCATTAACTCTGCTTGCTTTTTATATGTGACTATAAACATGGAGAAATCATCTCACTGTTTATACTGATCCTAAAATTAAGAATGACAACCTGTAAAATTTTCAGGGAACACCTCATTGAGTGGATTCAAAAGATACGTGCTCTATAGTGTATAGGGCCACAATTTCAAGTTCAGTAAATCCAAAATCCCAGACTGATCAACTATAGAAAGGATACTCTACTCTCTGGCTAAGAGAAGAGAAGACTTGATGTCACAGTGTGAGTAATCACCACCAAGGGAAATCTCAAGCTCCGCCCCCTCAGTGCCAGGAGGGGCCCCGTCAGAGAGGCGGATGGAGAGGAGGGGGACACACCCACCTGAAAGCGGGTTCTTTCACTGGCATACTTCTGGTAGTGCAGCATGGCCTGCAGAACTTTCTTGTGGCCCCCGGGAACCAGGCACACGGCGCCCAAGATTTCCAGCACAGCCACCTTTGTTTTAATGTTCTCTGTGCTCAGACTCTGAGCAATTACATTAATACTCTCAGAATGAGCCAGGACATGAGCCCGACCTTGAGAGTTGTTCATTAGCGCTTTTATACATCCAATGAGAGAGGTATGTATGCGAGACTCTGAGGTCTCGTAGTCCATGGTCTTTAGAAAGTTGAGAATACATGACAGGCCATCCAAGTCGATGAATCTGGTTACAAACCTGTCAGGAGGAGGTTAAAATGTATCAGACTTAAGTCTCTCTGTAATTTTGTAATAACCTTTAATGGACAAGTTCAGGGGTTGGGGAGCAGGAGAAAGGAAGAAGATGCAGTTCCTGAAGTACCCAAGGCTTACACTGATGGAGTCTTCTTAATTCCTGGCCTCTTCCTCAGCACAGACCCAGGTCTAACCAGAAGTATGAAAAAAATCTCCATTTGAGGTAAACAGACCTCAACTGACACAAAGAAGCAATTAACAGATCAGTAACCACAGAAAAGCAGGAACAAGAAGGCACTCAGAATATTTGTCTTGGGTTAAGTCACCTGGTGTTCCCACGTTATTGCAGCATCCAGTCCTCACGCACTGTTATGTGCTGACCACTGACTGGGGCAGGCCCCATATCAATGAAGTCAAGGAGAATCCTTAAACTCTACTATATTTGCTTGTCAAACACATGATAATCTGTATCCCTAAGGTTTTGTAGCAAAACCCTTTTGTGTGGCACGTTACATGGAATCCGAGTATATAAAATGAAAGCAATACTTTATCACTGTACCTTAATTTTATTGATATTTATGATACTATTTACTGTAAAGCCAATCAACAAGAATAATTCACAATGTACATCTGCATGTTAAGCTTCTGAAAAGTTCAGAAGTAACAAACTGTTTATCTGACTATCCCAGAAATTTCCAAATTTATTGAATCTTGGATATCCACTAACATCTGAGAATGCAGAACACACACGTGGAGGGAAGCAATGATTGAGTTAAGATAGGCTAGAAAAACTGTCATACAACTATGTAAGATTTTTGATGAATCTGTTGGTTTTTTCTTAGTTAGCATTTTATAGTCAAATAAAGGAAGTGAATCTTTATTTTCCAGCCTTTTCACCTGAACACATGACCCAGATATAGCCAGCTGGTTAGACCAGTTGGCTTCATTCATAGCACTTGTGCTAATGAAATGTACTGGTAAGCCCAACACCCCACCAAACCTTAGAGGCACTGATGGAAAATGCAGGTGTGGGAGGCACACAGTGGAAGCTGATCGCCCAATCTCTTTTTAATGACAGAGTTTTTGACATATTAACTCAAATGCATAAAATTCACACTTTCAAAATGTACAATTTTGTGATTAATATATTCACAGAGTTGTACAAACATTGCCACGATGTGATTTTAGAACACTTTATCAGTTTAGTCATTCTCTGAAGACTATAAATGGAATCATATACTTTGCTCAAATATTTTAAGGCTCATCCATGTTGTAGGTATATCAGTGCTCCATTCTTTTTTAATGGCTGAATAACCCATTGTATGGATATATCATATTTTATTTATCTATTTTCAGTTGACAGAATTTAGGTTGTTTCCACTTTTGTGCTATTATGAATAATGCTGATGTGAAAATTTGCAAACAAGTTTTTTGGAGTATACTTTTTTCATTTCCCTTGGGTACACGTTGAGGAGTAGAATTGTTGGATCATGTGGCAACGCTTTGCTTAACATTCTGAGAAACTGCTCAACTGTTTCCAAGGTGGCTGCACCCTTTTTCATTCCCCCCAGCAATAAATGAGGGTGGCAATTTCCCCACAGCCACACCAATACTCGTTAGCTTCTGTCTTTTTATATTTTAGCCATTTTAATGGCTGCTTGCATAGCTTTTAATTGAAGACAGTCAATTTATTGAATGCTCAATGATTAAAGTATTTCATCTATGGTTCAATTGTATGCTTTTAATTTAAGACTTCCTCAAAAGTTTGGCTATTGTAGAAAAAAAATAGAAGAAAGAAAAGAGAGGAATAAGGGATGGAGGAGAAGAGAAGAGAAAAAAAGAAAAGAGACAAGTAGTATACACTACCCAGGAAAAAAATTACCTCATTGGTTTTGTCCGTAGTGCTGTCTTCAAACTCTCTATGGTTTTACTTCTCTCTTCTTCTTCTTCCTTCTCTAATGCAAGCAGAGATTTTCTCTATGCAAAGAAAACTGGAGTTACTTCATCCAATTCTATATTTTAATTATGGTACAAGCAAGACATGCTATCCTCAATTTTAATACCAATAAATAATAAATCTATAACTAAGATTTACTACAAGCCAAAATGTAGAGCAAAAGCACCAAGAATTCTACACATTTGTTATCTCTACTAAAAGTTAGTTCTTTCAAATTTTAAATAAAGCTTTAAGAAAATGCTTAGAAATCCTAATAGAGATTACATTGTCCAAATGTTCGTGTACCTGTTCCATAACCGCACTCTGATAAAGGTATTACTATTTATATTTGATAGAAGGAAGAGTAAGCCTGTAGTTATTATAACTTTCTGGAATCGAAGTTGGTCACATTATCACACTATCAACCTGAGGTAGGCAGCAACCCTCCGACCCCATCTCTCCCATTCCTCAGACGAAAAGTATAATCTTTTACACTTTTTGTTCCATCTAATTATTTTTTAAAAGGAAGGATTAAATTGGACCTGACACTATGATGGACAATTTCTTCAGCGAAAATGCTTAAGTTTTAGAAATGACTCAACATCATTTGGGAATCAGGACATGGAAGATGTGTGTGTGTGTGTGTGTGTGTGTGTGTGTGTGTGTGTGCATGTGTTTACACTCTCCCCACCCAGGATCTGCGAGAGCAGTGCTTCTCAAACTGTAACGTGGATATGAACCACCCAGGCATCTTGTTGAGATGCAGGTCTGATTTGGTAGGTCTGGGTGAAGCCAAGGATGTTGCTGCATCAGACTAGTTTCCATGCAGCACGGATGCTGCAGGTCTGTGGACCTCACGTTGAAGCAGAAGGTCTAAGGAAACAGATCTCAGTTGATATTATAAAGTCACAAATGCTAGTAAGGCTTATGGACTTGTTAAAAAGTCTTTGCATTCCTCTCACCCCATGATCCCCTAGTTGTACTAAACGTTTCCCAGGTGCCTCAACCCACAGAACCACTGGTCCCTTGCCTTCATCCTACTCTGAACACGGGCTTGTCCAGTCTCAGTCTTTCACCTGTTACCAATTCAGAGAAAATGCATGGTTAGGGAACAGACTGGGGTATTGGAAAAAAAAAATGTTTGGCCCTTATCCAATGTGTCGCAATGGTCCAATCTTTCCCTTTCTTTCAGGACCGAATATCATCAAGGGGGAACTTTACTTAATTTTTTTCCAGTTAATAGTATCAGCATTAAGTAACTAGATGTTAATTACAGCCTGTCTTTGACTTAACAATTAGGAGGGTAAAGCCACAAACAAACAAATATATCAGTATCATTTATAGCAACTGAAATAAAAACCAGTCGAGTCTTGTTTTTAAACTGTTCCTGTTTCTGCTAAAGCTGCCCTCTTGCTGGTGATGTATCCGGACAGCTGTCACCAGAGGATGACTGGGAAGAAGCTGTGTGCAGAAACGTCAACGAATTCCTTCACAGCTCTGTGTGACCCATCCTGGAAAACCCAGCTCAGATCCAGCCAAGCATGTTTAATCTTCTGCAACACAGTTGAACTCTCGACTTTTAAACCATCCCTTTGCACCTGTAGCTCAGAATCAAGTCTTTTATGATCATTACTGCGTGTTCCTAAGCTTAATCACAAAAGCTATCTCCAAATTAAAGACTACTCACATTTTTTATTATGGTTCACTAATACAAAAAGAAGATGCACATAGTTATCTCAACAATCTTGAAGAGGTGGAACATTTGTATAAAAGCAGATTACATTGAATCTCTCCCTAATGGAGTTGGGAGATTAATGAAAAGTCAAGAAAATTAAATTGAAATTTCCCTTCCCAATATAAGGACCATTACTTTCCTCTCAAAACAAAAGACAATGTGGCCCTAGCCAATGTGGCTCAGTTGGCTGAGCATTGTCCCATGCACTGAAAGGTCAGTGGTTGGATTCCCGGTCAGGACACATGACCAGGTTGTGGGTTTGATCCTCAGGATGGAGTGTACAGGAGGCAATGAATCAATGTTTCTCTCTCACATCAATGTTTCTCTGTCTCTCTCCCCACTTCCTCTCTCGCTCTCTCTAAAAACAAATAAATACATAAATATATACACATATCAATAAAAATAATAAAAAATGAAACAAAAGACAATATGCTCTTCTTTTGTACATCATATGAGATTTAAATCTAAGACTCTCTTGCAGTGAGAAAACTGAGGATATGTGGATGAATCTAATATTCTACTGACTTTTTTAAATGAAATAATTTATAGAAAGTCTCAAGTTTTTAAGCTTCATATTTAAGAAGAAAGCTTAAGTTTCAGCTTTTTGTAGAAAAGGGGAATGGCTGCTATATCAAACATCCAGTGTGCACGCTGGCACATGCAGGACAGGCCTATGACCCTCTGTGGATGCTCTATTCACCTAACACATCCCTGCTCACATGAGAAGTGGGAAGAAGACAAAGTGCATCTTGGCAGAGGATGTTCTGGCCAAAGCTGCAACAGTATACACTGGCACACTCAGGTCTAAGAGAAAGGCACGAGGCCCAGAAATTCTTGCAGGCTGGGAGTCTGCAACCACGCTCGCTCCGGTTTGAGACATTTCGTTGGTGTGAAACCGGGAAGCATTCAGGCTAAGCACACTGATTTCACCTCACACCCTTCCACCCCGAGAGTGCACGGAGAAGTTACACACAAGGAAAGCCCAGGTCCTTCTACAACCTGTTGGGCTGCACTTTTATTATTCTGTTTTTCACTCTTCGACGGATCATTCAGGGGTCCTCTAAAGAACAAAGCATTCTTGTTATGAGGCTTACGTAAGTAACTGAACTTGCTCCACAAAAGGCTTCACAAACTAGTAAGTGCTGCAGTCCTTGACCTGGACTGTTTATCACTCTCAAAGCATTAAAGAAAACAGATGCCTGCCCCACCTCAGAAAAGTTGGGGGAGGGATGGGATTACCAGGCCTCTTTTATGGGTTTTTAACCCAAGTTAGTGAGAGGCAAATTGGAAAGGAGTCTTTGAGCTCGGGTTTAAATTCCAGCTCTACCACTTCCTAATTAGATGACCTTGGGCAAGGTAACCTTTCTCTGAATCCCAGACTCCTTATCTATAAATAGTACTTATAGCATAGGGTGCTTGTAAGCCTTTAAAACAACATGTAAAGTGCCTGTTATACTGCTTGTCACAAGATGCACACTCAATAGCAGTAGTTGCTACTGATGCTGAAGCCAAAGGATGGTGACAATGGATAAATGCCCCTTCAACAATTTCCTAAGCGGAGAGCCAGAGTCTCACTGCCAGGCCATAAAAGGATCTGAACGAACTTTGTGCCTTCCAGCCCGCAGGGACAATGTGTCAGGACTGCTGCTGTGTGTTGCAAGCATTGTCTAATAGTTATCAGAGAGATTGGCCAGAACTATAGGAGGAGGTGGTAGCAACAAGCATGGTGAGAAACAGACAGTTCAGCAGTGTCTGGTCTCATCAGGCCTCCGAATCCCTCTGTGCACACAGTAGTTCTCAGGTCTCATTAATTCATGAATGATTACTGCCATTTACCTTTAACCCTGGAAAGATGCTGGCTGGGTCCTTAAAGGAGCATCAGAAAGCGTTGATAGGTGTTTAACACATAAAGAACAGCATTTGACTGACAATTTAATAGCCTTGAGATTCTCTTGGAAAGGACTTTGGATTAGAATCAAATATAATTGAAATGTACACAACTCGTGACCACAGCAAAGGGCTGTCCAAGGCACTGGACGAAGGAGAAAGGAGGCGCATGAAGGAGTGCCACATCCTGGCACATCCTGGCCCCCAAGGGCAGGAAAGGAGCCAGGTCGACTCTGGACAGGGCATGGATTAAGTCACTAAAAGACAAGTTAACCTAACTCCCCCAAAATATGAAGAAAGGAAAAATCCATAGTGTTTAGTGCTTCTCCATTTATAGAAGTGAATTCATTAGCAACTGCCCTTGTTAGACATCAAACAATGCTAACTTAATTAGAAAGAAAGACAGCTTGCCTACCCGCTCCTTTTTTCCCTAATAGCAAAGAACAAGAATTCAGAAATAACCTTTACGTGCAGGAAATGTAAATGACTCTCAATGATTATGGCTTAGACGGAAGCATAGAAAATCCCTGACGGTCACCACAAGCCTCCCAGTCTGCTAACACATTCATACAAATGCTGACATCGTCCTTTCTCATCTTTGTCATTGTGGATGCCTTGTAGAAGGAGGATTTGGTAGTTATTTTCCGTTCTTTTCTGCTGGGCTTTCAGACTAGAAACCCTTGGGGCAAAAGCCTCTATAATTTATACAGCCCCGTTCACATTTACCAGGCTGTTTATTATTCATTGTGGGAGAGCAGAGAAGCATCTTCAAAGAAAAAGCTACAAAAGGGGACGTTACTAAAAGTCAAGGCCTCTGAAAGTTTAGCAAAAGTGTGAATGATTCACATATTTTGGTCAGTTTTTAACTTTTGCAGCAGCAGCAAAATGTTTGCTTTAAGTGATAAGAAACTGATTCTCCATAAGGACTCTGGGGAAGGCAAGCAAGAGAGGTAGAGAAACATATTATGGAAGCTGCCCTCTATGGATAGTATAAAGCTGACTCTAACAGACTGACTCTTAAAATCATGAGTGTGTCTGTCCACTGAGGCAGACTGTGTTCTACTGGGGGCAACCTCCTATTGTTATCAACAGAACGAGGATTTAAGCTACTGAGGCTCAAAGGTCGATGGCTTGTTTTCTGATGCATATTTCAGCGGGGATCACTACGTGCTCCTCAAGCCACTCAGAGCACTGACATCACAGGTGATCAGAATGCATATTTTAGATGCTGAACATGCATTTTAAGCAATTACCGAACCAAAAATACAAGTACCAAAGATTTCCCAAGGACATCTCGGTGTTGTTGTTATTATGCCCTTTCATGATACCACTAATACCACGGGCTTTTTTGTGTGTTATTTATATTAGCAAAAGAGTACCGTGGTGCCCAGTAAAATCAAGAACCTAGGAGGAACTAAGCAAATCATCAGTAAGTACGAGAATGGGAGGAGAACAATGAAGACAGTGTCAATGCACTGGTTTTAAATAGCATTAACTTTTCGAATAGCGCTGCCATAACTAAACTCCACGTAATTGGTAAGAGCAATTGCAAGTTAAAGTTGAACACAAGCCAGAATTAAGATTGCATTTCCTCTTACAACATTAAACTCGCTTATATTTGAGGGTGTGCTGATTTTATTTGAAACATACTGAAAAAGTCATTTTGCCAAGTACCACTCCTGCCCTCCCTCCTCCACCAGTGCTCCCCCTTTTCCCAACATTGAACATTTAAAATGGAGCTTGGAAAGATAATGACATTTGCTAGTTCTTACTCAAGTAAATTTATTGTGCAACTGTGTGCTTTGTACTAGCCCTGTATTTTAAACCATGTGTCGGAGGACAGAAAGTATACCTACAGCAGCCATGGAATTGAGCTGATCGATGTAGAATTCAGGCCAGCTTGTTGCTCCCTTGTTTTCTTCCTGATCCTAAAGAGAAAAACAAAAACGTGATATACCACCACATGTATACACCCCAGGGACATAAGCGCATCTGATGTCCAGAGCATAGACAATGGCCCCCACAAACCATTAGAAGGCACTGAGATAGAAATATTTGTCTGTAAATGCTGGCTTTCAATCATCAGACTGTCCACTTGACTAGGGTGGTCTCCCTGATTCAATTTCCAGGGAGTGCTAAAGGCATTTCAGTGGGAACTTAGCCACATCATGATGAAGCTGTTTTTCATCAGGGGCACAATAACCCTGCGCAGGGCACTGTGTTTGCTGCAAGGACAAAGGACCTCTAAGTCCTGTGTCACACCGAGGCTAGCACTGCTGGACCATTCGTCTGGATGAAATCCACAAGAAAGGAAGAGTTGTCTTTAAAAATGACCACAGGATTCAGCCAGCTGTTAACTAGATTTTCTCAGTTAGTTTATTCAGACTCCAGCAGACAGTAAAAATTTGAAGGAGGGTTTCATTTGATGTGACCAAAACTAGGTACTACTTCAGATGAGGATGGAGAATGAAGCCTGACATTGAAGAAGGTAATAAAATGAACACACATTCGTCACAGGCCCAGGCCTCAGGCTATGACAGATTGTGAGTTTGGATAGAAAATATAATGGGGGCTCAGCTGAAGAGAACCGAAACCCAAGGAATTCAGGAACCTATTCCTAAACCGCTCCAGCCAGTCTTGTCTTACAAACCAGGGTGCCCTGAAGCCAGCACCAGAGCCCCCAGGAATGCCAGGCTGAACCCACACCTCCAAAATAAATAAATAAGTGAATGAGGTAGTTCCACTGGAGCACCGGGTCCCTCAGAAGGTGCACTGTGGTCGGGGATCTCCACGCATGTGCGAACCTACATGCTACAAGTCATGAGCAAACAGACTCACAGGAGAAAACTCCAGCTATTCTCTAGCTTCCCATTCAGAGAGCAGCTTGGTACAATCAATCGCCTCAGAGGAAACAATGAAGTAGTTACTACCTATTTACTGGTGTCAGAATCCCATCCTCAAGATAGTGATTTCAAGATGGGCTTTTAATTTCATTCCCATACTTTTCTTAAAAAAACAAAACAAAAACAAAAAAACCACTTTCTGTAAGCAGTCTTTCTAGTCAGGTCTACTAGGGTAAGATGAAAGAAACGTAATTTCACAACTATTTTTTAAGTAGTCACAAAAAGGGGGCAAAGTAACTATTGCTTACAGCGCCCTAAAGTGGGCAGTAACTGATACCTGAACTCGGGCACTTGCATGGATTTCATCTGGAGACTGAACGAGCCAGATGATGGGGACACAGGCTACAGCAGTGGCTTTGAAGTGGGGCTGGATTACACTTCCATGGTTTTAAAAAGCTCAGGAAATCTGATGAGTTTTTAGAAGAGGCCTTGATTATTATTTAACATGTTAATAAACTAGCTAAATGGTAGTGTAAAGACTGAACCCTTCTGTCCTCGTACAGGGTAGTAAGTTTGCAAAACCCCTTTTACCAATGTTTTCAGCAAGCCTGAACCCACAATAATATTCAATAGTATTTGAACCTATAAAATGAACTAGAAGGTGCCAGATCTTTTTATTCCCCCAAACAAGGGCAAATTTCCAAAACTACAACAAAATCACACCCCATGTCCAGGGTCCCATGAGAGCCTGTCTGTGGTAAGCTTACTAGTCATGGTTATGGAACAGGAATCGTTTTAGAAACTGAAGATTAATATATAGACAGAAATCTCTACACCTTGGAAATGCTTTAATAATGTAAACAGATTCAGAGTAGACCTAGATACTGTAGTCAAAATAAGGGGAAGACATCATTATTTCACATGCCTCAAGGCTGACAAAACCAAATGAGCTCACGTATGTGAAAACCTCTTGTAAATGTACCAAGTGTTGTCACCATATTCCTGGCGGGCGAGTCTCAGAGTCCCTCATGCTATCAATGCATCTCCAGTTTCCCCTGCGCGACCCTGATCCTTCTACACAGATGTAGATGTGGCTACAGTGGCCAACTGAAACTCACAACCGTGAGTCAACTCTCTCCTGCTCTGTGTGGCTGCCAGGGTCTGTAGTTCCACAGAAGCACAGGACAGAAGGAAATGAAGGCGATCGTTTGCTGGGAGTCCCGCAAGGAGCACCGGACACTGAGACATGCCAAGGCGAGACACTCCCCTAGGAGTCCATGAAAGAAACTCCCGGGGGAGCACGACGTGTCCCATATTCCTGGAAGGCAACTGGGTCCTTGTTTTACAACCTCCAACAGTTATTATTCTTTAAGCTATCTGTCTTAATTCTATGTATTTGTTCTGGAGAAATAAATGGGAAATACTCAAGATTGTATAAATTGACTAAAGGAAGTTATAATGGAAGCAACAGCAAAATCCAATACATATATAGCTTATATTCAAATACTGTTCTAAGCACTGTGCTCTTCATTATAATCTACCCCAGAGGTAGGTGTTGTTATTATACAATTTTACTAAAGAGGAAACAAGAGGCAGAGAGAGGACAGGTGAGTTGCCAAAGGACACTTGCTGAAAATTCAAGTGAGTGGGAAAGAGTAAGAGCAACTTTCTAAGATTAGAGCTCGGATGAATCACAAACAATACACAGGAAGTGCAAAGCTGGCCTTTCTCTCTCAACCATGTCACTATAAGAAATTCAAACATGGTCACTTCTGTCACCATCAAGGACATACATCTGAATCCTCAGTAACTCACTACCTTAAGTGACTGACAGGCAGGGAAGAGAAACAACTCTGTGTGACTCAGTTTTAACTAATCTGTAAAATGGGTGCCTACTGCACAGGGTCATTGTGAGGATTTAAAAGATAATACAAGTTAAAAAAAAAAAAGGCACTGACGAGTGGGGAACCTTTTTTCTGCCAAGGGCCATTTGGATATTTATAACATCATTCGCAGGCCATACAAAATTATCAACTTCAAAATTAGCCTGCTATATTTGGTCAGGCTAATTTGGGGAGGTGTGTGATGTTAGCTGGTATTGATTCTGAGGGCCTTATGTGAAGGCCTGTGGGCCGGACGTTCCCCACCCCTGACACAGAACATACTCAGTAAATGTCAGCTAGGATGATAATGAAACTGTTCCAGAATCTCTAGCTGTGGCCAGACAATTTCTTAGTAGCAGCTGAAGTCTTTCAGTAATATAAGTGAGATTCAGAGTACAGTTTAAAAATTAAATCTTCAAAAATAACAGCTTTTGAAATTCACACAGGACAAATTTTTAATAGGATCACTTCCCAAGTAATAATATGTAAGAACTGGTCGAGTTTTTCCTTCAGTTTAAGATGCTCTTTATAAGGTTCAAAATAGGCTGTGCAAAGGTCAATCAATGGTAAAGGACATGCTCTGGGGTTGTTCACAAGACCACAAATCACAGGCTGAAGCAACAAGCATTTGGCAAACTGAAGCTGTACCTCTCCACGCGCTGCTATACTCCCGTGAGGTTCTTCGACGACACTTTTTAGAAAAGACAGACACTCTTTCCTTGTCTAGATTGGCTAAGGATCCTCCAGCAATGTAGAAGAGCACTGTCAACCCCAAACAGGAGGGGCATATTAAGGTTTAACCAAATAAATTTCAACCGCAGAAAGGTATTATTTCGGTATGAATGTATGAAGTAAATTTCATTCTGATAATATGCAGTACAGGACAAAGGCAACTTAATAATAATAAAAACCGGTTCCATTTGTTTTAAAAAAATGCTGTTAGAAAACATGTTAGCTGTGATCATTTATAGGATCAAGAAATTCTATCCCTTGGTAATAATCAAAATGGTCACCTATTACATTGAGTTGTCATTGTTATTCTGATTCAATGGGTCCACCCCCACAGACTAATACATAAATTCATTCTGACCTGGAATTTTCAGAGAATTCTAGTCAGAAAGAGGAAGAAAGGCCCAAATATTTTCCTCTCTTCGGCATGTCTTCATGATGTGTGTGGCATTTATCACACTGAAGTCAGCGAGAGGAAACAGGAGTCCACGTGGGTGAAACTGCGTGGAAGGAAGAGCTGGTCCGATGACGACGGAACACTGTGTTGTGACAGGCCCTGCTAATCACTCTGCTGACTTTCCCTTGACTCGGTAATAGCGTAACCAGCCTCTCCTCAAAAGATGGCCATGACGAAGTGTGGAGGAACAGCCTAGAGACCAGTGGCTAGCAAACTTTTTCTGGAAAGGGCCAGCTAATAGATACTTTAGGCTTTGCAGAGCACACCGTCTGGTGCAACTACCCAACCCTGCCTCTGTACAGTGCAAAAGGCAGCACAGATAACACCTCAAAGAGCGCGGCCACTGTTCAACAGCACTGCGTGTACAAACACGGGTGACTGGCCAGATCCGGCTCTCGGGCCACAGTTTGCGCTAGACAGAGCTTGGCTCTCAAGAGGGTGGGAGTACATCACAATTCTAACTTAATCACCTACTATTTTCCATGCCTTTTCCTTTTCTTGAAGCCACGCTATCTCTAGTAAACCCCAGCTGTAGGTTAGAATCAGCTCATGAGGTTCTTGGAACTTGCCCAGTAACCTGCACTTTTTCTAGAGAAGAAGCAGGACCTACCATGCCCGAAAAGTCTACCTTCTTCCCAAGCTCCCTGAAAGTAGTCAAAACAGCATAGCATCCCTTGGTCCTCCATATCCTGATATTAGCCCCCAACTGTTTCTGTCCGATTCACCTTTCCCTGAGAAGAGAAGAGCCAGCAGGCCGACAACCCTGGATTCCTGGGCCGGCTGCTTTACTCGGACCTTCCAGTGCTTGCCTCTCGCCCCGAACAGTGGGCTAGAGCTAGATCCCACTTCCGAAGCTCGCCCAAGGGTGGCAGTTGGTTTCGAAAAATAATTCCTGTGTTGGCACACGTCAAGATAATCATGTGGTTCCCGGGACTGCTGGTCCTGGTTACATATTTTGGTCACTGCCACAATTATACATCAAGGGCATTTGTTGCCAAAATCCAGTTGGGCCCACA